TCTTTAATCAAGTTAACACAATACTATGTTAAACATGCCCTAACACTTTCGTGTCATATGACCTATTTTTTCTCAAATTTAATTGAGAAACATAGCGTCATTCTTAGAGGATTGAGTGGCAATCTTATGGTTACCACGAAAGGTACCATTCTATTTGGTGTGGATCTGGTTCGGCTTGATGCTCTCATTCTTGAAACTTTAATGTTTCAGAGCAGTCTAAGTGGTTCGTGTAGTACTAATAATAGTACTTCTTACAATATCATTATTGTGGGTAATAAACCCATTCTATTCCCATATATTCTTAAAAATAAATATGGGCATACAACCCATTTCCATAGCATATGACTATATAATACACATTCATATATACGGCAGAGTATGCATTTATGTAATCAAAATTACTCTACTTCACAACATGTACAGAAAATTGTACTCAAATCATCAAGAAATCACATCTCAATGTCAATATAATCAATGCATCGATCATAGCTTTCCTTTCAACATTCATTAGATTTCTCAATTCCATGCATAAAACTAATAGGCATGAATTCTAATTTTATCATTCATTAATGACTCACGAGATAGGTTTTAGTTCTTACCTCTTTTTGAGAAACCATTGTCGTTTCAAGCAGAAAAACTAGCCCACGTAAAGCTCCCTTGAGTCTCACCCTTCTCGGCTTCTTGGGCCACTACTGAAGCGGCTTTCATTAATTTGGCCCGGGACCAGAACTGATGGAAAGGAAGCTTCTTGTTGGTTTACTCGCTCAAAATTAGGTTCCCTGCTTCTTCCTTTTCATCTCTCTTATCCTTGCAATAAAGCTTCCGGTACCATCATTTCAGCAATAGCGGCTCACGGAATCCGAGAGAATACTGGAACTCTATTATCCCGTCGCCGCCGCCGGAACTCGTTTATCCCGCCGCCGCCGCCGGAGGCCATCTGCGGCTACTTTTTCTTTGCCCGCTGTTCCTGCTTCCCCAGCGTCATCGTCGCGAGGTTCTGGTCATCGCCGGTACTCGTCTCCACGACTGCAATCGGAGCCTAGAACCAGCCGCTCTAGATCCCGGCCGAGGTAGCTTGCGGAGATCAATTTTTCTTTGGTGGTTTAATTGGACCGGGCATTCTTTTATTTACATGGTCCAGAAACCAAACTTCCCTCTGCTGCCAGCTCTCTCAGCTCCCTCCAAAACCAATCTTCCAAATTCCCAGAGTGTTATTTGTAGTGATTGTAGCAGGCGAGCAGCTATGCTCGAAAGAATATAATTATCTCCGAAGCAGTATTGGGGGCAACTGGGCATCTTTTGGCCCGATCGAGCGAGCGAACGTCAAGAAAGCTCGGTGGAGATCAAATTAGTTTCAGCCATAACCGATTCCCTGTTAGACACAACAGCACCGAACGTCTTAAAATTGTTAGAAATCGAACAGGAAAAATTAGGGTTACCGAGCTGGCTGAGTCGCGGACTAGGTCACTCTCTTTAAGACGTTCGCGGCACTGCCTCATAATTCGCACAGCAGACTATCAGCCGGTCGCCTCCAGGATAAAACAGCCACTCTTTTGATTTGCTCAGCGGTTTTGTGCGGAAAACCGGAGCTCTTTGAATCTCACTCTCTCTCGTGTTTCTGCTCTCTGAGGTGTGTTTAGAGGGTCTGGGGCGTCTCCTATTTATAGGAGCAGAAAACCCAGAATATTCCCTCTTTCTTTGGGAATAAGTCATATTTTAATTAGAGAGATAATTACTCCCATAATTAAAATATAATCTATTAAGATAATTATTCCTAATTATCTCCATAATATTCCTTTTATTAATTATCCATCTTATTTCCGTATCTAGAAAGAATACTGGATAATTAATTCAATATAGCTTTCAAAGCTATTCATTCCCAACACGTTCCCGAGCACACAGCCTTGCAGATTGCAGTGAGTACATAAAACGAATTATTCTTTCGCCTTTTACTAAAGAATACTGTGGGTGCACTTCTAATTGGTTGAGTTTTGGAGGGTTGTTCCTTGGATCAACCCAACAATAGTTAGTCCAACACTTGTGGGATTTAATGTTCTGAAACAGTTTGTCTCAAACAGTAATTCGTCTGAGGTTTAATGTTCTGAAGCTGTAGGAGGTTAATTGAATGATTTTAGTTTTCAACTGAATTTCATATTGAAATTACTGTTCAATGGAATATGGTCAATTCGATTGTTCAACTGAGTTCAACTGAGTCGTGATTTAATAAGGTTGTGGGTCGACTGAATTTTAAGCAAATTAGATTATGAGTCAATTGGGTTACAAGTCACTTGAATAGTTATGAGTTGGATGGATTACAAGTTACTGACTTTTCAGTCAACTCGAATTAAGATCGAGTTCTGGTCAGTGGGCGGTAGGGGTGGACATTTGGTCGGTTCGGTCTAAACCGAACCAAAATTAAGCATACCAACTCCCCGAATTAGTCCATGCAGCAAACCGATTTCAAACCGAAATCTAATTCGGTTTGGTTCGCCGAAACGAAATATAGTTTAGTTCGCCCGAACTATATCTCGGTTCGGTCCGGTTTCAAGGCTCAAACCCGAAAATATAAAACCAACACACTTTATTTCCATTCCCCACTAAAAATCGGCTCCAAATTAATCCTTCCCCTCTCCCTCATCTCTCATCTATCTAATCTGCTCCTCAATCAATCTCTCTCTCCTCTCTCCTCTCTCCTCTATCTCCCCCATATCTATCCTTCCCTCAATCAATCTCTCTCTCGTCTCTCCTCTATCTGCCCAAATCTATCCTTCATTCAATCTCTCTCTCTCGTCTCCCCTCCGACCCCGAGACCCGAACTCGGCGGCAACGACTATTGACCGAGAGAACAAGACGGCGGCAGCGCCAATGATGATGGCGATTGGCGAAGTGAACAACGCGACGACGGCGGCGACGACGAAGATCCTTGCACCTCCCCAATCAACATTCTCTTCATCTCGACTGATGCATGTGGGTTTTTATGTTTGATTTTCTTGGTTTAAGTGGCAGGCACTAGTTGAGGAGAAGAAAACTGAGAGAGGGGAGATTGGTCGGCGAGGAGGGTGAGTGGGTGACGATGAGGGATGGCTGCTGTGGAGGTTGTATATTTGTTGTGGGTGAGTGGGCTTAGGGCTAGGCCTGTGAGAGATTGGGTTGGGCAGAGTGGTGGGGTGTTAGTGTGTGGGCTATGAGAGATTGGGTTGGGGTGGGGACTGGTCGACTGGTCGACTGGGCTTTTCGGTTTTTCGGTTCAGATTTCGGAATTCGGGTTCGGTGACGACAACACTGGTTTCCGAAATACCCATTATTCTTGTCCGAATTCCGAACCGAATAACAATAGTTCGATTTCGGTTCGGTTGAATTCGGGTTCGGATCGGTCGGTTCAGGTTTACTGAACCGCATGCCCACACCTAGTGGGCGGGTTGAACGGATGGGTTTTGTTTGACAATTTTAATATGATATGCAATGCATATTTGTTTGAACTAGGCGTGACAACAATCCCAACATGGATAAATGTCCGAATCAGATCCAATTAAACAAGATAAACACACGAAGTAAATGAGTGACCATAGTTTTCTTACCATCCAACCCTAACCTTCCAAATTTGCAAGATTATATATGCATATATGTATTTCTTTTTTTTTTTTTTAAATGCCTCTTTCAACTGCTAGCCATAGCAAAGAAGCCAGAGTGATGAGATCTGTTAAGCATCGATGAACAACCCTTTCCAGAATGTGTGTTACCTTGAGCAAATAAATGGGAAACAATAGATCAGTGAAGTGAAGTGAAATGAAATGAAATGATTGATGTAACGATGTCCAGGTACACCTGCAAGTTTCTATAAACCAGGCTCCTATTTTGACTACCTTGGCATACAAGTCTTCCATGGTTGGGTTGGGTTGGGTTGGGTTGGCTAGAATCATCTGAAAAAGGGCCTACTCTCTCTTTCAGTCTTCATACCTTCATTAAAGGGAATCGAAATGTATATAGTGCTCTGCATGAGCAGTTTCCATTCGTCTTCTCTGTGGCTAATAACTGTTGAACGGTTTCGTGGAATAAAAGTAATCTGGTATACCAATATGAATTGGCTACCACTTGTATGATTTCCCCAATCAGATGAGCGCGCCGTAAGCTGAAAAAGGCGCTTGCTTTGATTTCCTTGAGATGGGATCACCCTAATCTTATTCCTATGAAAGGAAGCAGATAAGACAAGAGGAGGAAGGATAACGTTACTTACTAAAATGGTGAGCCAATTCTTCTCAACCAGTACATGACACGTGGTGAGCCATCTACAGATTCGAAGCCTAACACGTGGAACCATACTCTCTTGACGGTTCTGCTACATTTGTGAAGTAATGGAAGGGAAATCCCCCACATGTCGCTCTCTTCTGTTTGCAGACTTGAAGCGCAGAAAAGGGGGACGGAAATTTCCAAGGAATTCATCTTTGTAAAATACTACCACAAACCCACAAAAAATCAATCGCTCTCAACTGCAATCTCCATCTCTAGATGCTCTCGTGCTCGATTCTATCCCTTCATTCATTCATTCCCGTATTTGTTTGGTATTATTCCTCCACTTTGCTCCAACAATCGCCGCATCTTCTCTCCGTTTCTCCGCCTCTAGTCTAGTCTAGTTTGAGACAACGACAAACGGAATCGATTCGTTCAACACCTACCGTTCATTTTCCTCCGAAAAGAGGTTGCCTTTTTTATCTTGTTCGTAAAATTTGAAACAGTGGTTATTGTTCGATTCCCCTGTTTGGGCATTCATTCCCCCCCTGTTATATGATCTGGGTCTGCTGGAGGATTACAAGCTGGAGGTGTCGTCCAATTCTCTCCTCCGCCCGACGACCACAACCATCACCGCCACATTTCCCAGGAACCCATCTCGATTCTCCGCCCTCCAATCCGCCCTGCCGCCGCGCTCTGCTGTCAGGCTCTCCGCCGTCAGGAGTCGAAGGAGGAGACAACAGTTGGGGGTTGTCGTCGCGAAGGTGGGAGTAATGGCAATTGAACAGGTCTCCGCTACGCAATCCCTTATGTTGACATCCGGAGCCAGCGGCAGGATTAATGCCCTGTTCTCGGCGAGGGCGTTGAAGGGTCTGTTGGCTTTGATTCATGCACTGTTGATTCTCCTTTTGCTCCCATTTCGTGGCCGGAGGCGGGCGGCCGCATCCGGAAGCTCGTCGGGTCACGGGGACAAGGGCAATTGCGTTTGCGAGAAGGGGAGCAGCGGAAGCGGGGCGAAGGTGAGGGTCCCTGCTAATATTGTGCCGTGGAAGGCTACTAGCTCTTGGGTCAGCGCCAGCGGCGGCGGGGTCATGGCGACGGTGGATAATGAGGTTGCGACTAGGAGGACGATTGCTATCCGGAGGGTGTTGCAGGACGATGACCCTAGCTCGGTTAGGGATTTCTCCACGTTCATCACTGCTAGGGGCGACACCGTTTTTACCCAGTCTTGGTTCCCGGCTTCAGGGGAGATCAGGTATGAATGATCAATTCTCGAGTTCAAGTTTCCATAGATATTCGGATTGAGATTAAGCTTTATATGCCTGCATTAATTGGCAAACTGGAATGTGAAATGTGCTTGCTTCTCTACCACAAAATGAAGGACATGACAAAATTTATATAAAATTTCCTTGGTAATGATGGCTAGTTGTATGTGGGGAGATGTATAGATTGGTTAATGGCCTTTCTGTGTGAAACTTGCTTCCTCTCGATAAGCATCATTGTTGGAGTTGAGATTCAATTTGCGCACAATTATTATCTTCAGTTATTTACCACGGTTTTTTATGATTACACTTTACACGATGACACAGCCATTGCTATGGATGTAGACTGGGCAATCTGTTTTCTTGTTCCTTGTCTTCTTCTTCTTATTTCTTTCTAGGGAGGTATAGCTGATATTGTTGTGAAGTGTTTGATGAACTTGTGCAAGATAAAATTGGTGAGACGAGATGTATTAGTTTCATCCCAAGTTGTTGGTGCAAATCCTAATAATTCTGTATGAGATAATTATCAGTTGCTCAGCAATATTGGCTTCTAGTCTGCAGCTTTTGATCTACCATAGGCCTAAAAAATGACTATTCCCGCGAAGAATTGTATCTTCATGGGGAGCCCCATGCCATGACCATTTGATTCTCTGCTAAATTCTTGGTCCTGGTCCCTCCCTTATCTTTCCCCCACAGGCTGATGGGCTACTTCTGCATGCAGATTCTGACTATTTGATATGATTTTCTAATGCGCACATAACTGTGGCACACAATTCTATTGGGCTATTCCTTCTGCGCTTCTTCTTTTCTTTTTTTAGCAGTACTTCTATTGGATTGTGGACCAGAAAGAAATTTTATCGTGGTTGTAAAAATTTGGCAAGCGGATTGCTCTTGTGGCGGGATGGTTCACAAGAACAATTGATCTTTAGCAAAAGTTAACAGTTTTCGAGCTGTTTCTGCCTGAATTGAGGCATATGCTTTATATTTTGGCGGATCAAGATGTGGGGCTTTATTTCCATGTAATCTGATTCTTACTCATTTACCTGGTTTCACCTTATGATGAACTTAAACTAGAATAATGTACAAGGATGCAAGATGCATGACAATTGTTTATATGAGCAGCAAAAGTTCATGTTTGTGTTTTCTTTTTCCCTTTTCTGATTCTTGTGTGCTTCAGTTAGGCGTTTTCCTTCAATCAATATAGAACCAAAAACTTATTACGCTGTCCTGTAACTTTCTTATTCAAAGCTTGCTTGTTTGACCTGTCATCAGTTTATCTAGTTTGGCACATGTTATGCTGGTTTCAGTTGACTAATATACATTCTATCTCTGCAGGGGAGTGGTAATTCTCATGCATGGACTGAACGAACACAGGTTTGTACTTTCTACTTCATTTTAGCGCGGGAGCATGTTGTATTGAATCATTTGATTATTTTTCTGACCTTCATTGTTTATGGCAGTGGGCGATATAATGAATTCGCAAAGCAACTGAATCATAACGGCTTTAAAGTATATGGAATGGACTGGATTGGTAAGCGTGATGAAACCTTTGATTTGTTCTCTGGCATATATTAATTAATGGCAGTGATCAATCTTGCGTGCCACAGCTATATTCTGAGAAGCTACCTCAAAGATTGACTTCGTTTCAAGTTGAGCTTAATTGTATTTATTATATTATGGCACTTGCATTTCTCTTAGAGGTCTAGGTCATTGATTACTCCCAGATGAAAGCAGACATACCAAGAGACCAACGTACCGAATAACAGTTCTGGCTGACGGGTTTATTTCTCAGGCAACTATAGTTCTGAACAGTACCGTTCTGCTTTTCAAATTTGTGTTCTACGGCATGTGGGTGGTCTATAGATAACCATGTCAGGATTTGGAGATGAGTGGTTAAAGGCACTCGTACTCTTATGTGGACATTTATGCCACTCTTGCATTCTGTGGATGGTAAACTTTGAAGTAAAAGTCAAGTCTTCAGATGGAAAGAATACAGTGTTAACCTGAATGCTTCTGATTACAGTTTAACTTGGAACATTACCTTTGTTTAGAGAATCTTAATGATACAAAAAAATTAATTGATTGTCACTAGTTTTCTGTGCTTAATGTTCTTAAAAATCATTGTTCTTTCAACAATGCATGTATATGTGGATGTTGCAGGGACTGGCATGTCCATTGGTGGAAAAAAGTAGCATGTGAAGCACCTTTTAAATAAGTAAGCTTGCTAATTATGGCTGGAATTGTGTCACCTTCCGCTCTAACTTGGTCAAGGGAAGGATAAATACCGTGAAACTCATAGGTCAAAACCCTTTGGGAAGCTTGGTTTACTCAGATTTTCTTGGCGAATTTCATCACCACTAGATTCTCCTTATTTCCAGGGGAATCTAGGAATCATCAGCCGAACCAAGACCTTAAAATTGCTGAAATACAGTTGGGAGGAATTTTTTTTTTTTAAAGCTGTCGCCATCTGTATCTTAGCAGATCCTCCAACTTTGAAGGTTGTCTATATGTCTAGTCTACAGAATCATCTATGAGTTTTCTTGTCCATCTGATGTCACTTTCATTTTTGTTCCCCTTTCTCATATGTTTCGTGTGTGGCTTATATTCAGTTTTGTTGTTTTCCCAAACTGCTGCTTTTTTTTCTTGTTCGTTTTCGTCCCTTCTGAAGATCATGGTCTGTTAAAACCTTGTTGATATTGATAAGCTTGATCACTTGTGATGTTTGAGCAATATTTTCTGTTTACAGTAATCTGTGCTAAACCCATTGTCAATTTTCTCGATACTTGTCAGGTCATGGCGGAAGTGATGGTTTACATGCATACGTTCCTTGTCTAGATTATGCTGTATCTGATCTGGTATGTCCAGCGTCTTATTCTGCAAGAAAATAAGGTCTGTTTTCATATTGTATTTCCCCAATTTCTCTGAACTATTATCCATTTTGTGGCAGAAATCATTTCTAGATAAGGTTATAGCTGAAAACCCTGGGCTCCCATGTTTCTGCTTTGGGCACTCCACTGGTGGAGCCATTGTTCTCAAGGTGAGAGCTTTTGTCATATGCCGTTGAATCCATTCTCAAAAACGCTTGTTCCGAAGTTTATGTTGTTTTCTGTGTCTCCGTATGACATCAATGATTTCAGGCAGCTCTAGATCCAAAAGTTGAAGCTTCACTTGCTGGTATGGTACTGACTTCACCTGCAGTAGGAGTTCAGCCATCCCATCCGATTTTCGTGGTACGAAGTATTTTCTTTGTCTTTCGAAAACGAGCCATTGTTCTCACGGAGCCTATCTATTGTCGAGTTAATTTTTAACCATCTCCCATACAGGTATTGGCCCCAGTTTTCTCTGCTCTGATGCCAAGGTTCCAGATAAGCGCAGCGAACAAAAAGGGGATGCCAGTCTCGCGAGACGCTGATGCCCTGATCGCCAAGTACTCGGACCCTCTAGTCTACACTGGATCTATTAGAGTTAGAACAGGTTACGAGATCCTGAGAAGCTCGACCTACTTGCAGCAGAATCTCAATAGGTTCAATGTTCCATTTCTAGTCCTCCATGGTTCTGCAGACACGGTGACTGACCCAGAAGGCTCCCGGAAGTTCTACAACGAAGCATCCTCAACCGACAAAACAATCAAGCTGTTAGATGGGTACCTGCACGACTTGCTGTTCGAGCCTGAACGACAGGACATAATGGACTGCATAATTGAATGGTTGAACGACAGAGTATGATGACGAAGGCTTCTGTCGCATATTAATTTGTGTTGAATAAGGGAACGAAAGAGGGCCTTCTGAAGTGGCCAAGGCCAGATTTGGAAGGACCGTGTAAGGGAAATGACTAATGAGGCTTCTTGATTTCATTGACTGCCATTTTTGGAGCAGGCGAAAGGGAGAGGGAAGAGCATTGGCTATGATTTGCTGAATAAAATGATATTCAGCATGAAAAAGTAGTTTGTTTTATGTTTTGGAACTGGACGCGATGTAGGTTCATGGAATTTTCTTTGTCTGCATGGAAGTTGTCAATGAAAGCCCATGGATTTGTAGCATGGTTTCTATTTATTTGGGTGTTGGTGTTCGCCTGGCCAGTAAGTGAGATGGACAATTGTGACCTGATTCGCACACTCTTCACTCTTGCTCAATTCTCTTGTGGTTACTGAGCAGGAGAAAATTAGTTACAATTTCGATACTCGTATCCAAAAAATCCCTTTACACAAGACATTATAACCCTGAAACTTAAATATGTTGAAACAGATAATCCGAGTGTGCTAATGTTCACCCTCGAATCTAACCAAGTTGACAAGTATGTTTGGCCTCTACGAACAGCTCATAGTTTTGATCTGATATTTCGCGATACGCTTGATTCGCTCCTCTATAGTAACTACGAAGATGCAGCGAGGCAGCTCCAGCAACACGATTGCAAACTAGAATGCGTTTGATTCTGGGGGGGCATAGCACTGGCAAGCATATCCACCTCTCTCCTTCGCCCATTCATTTCGTTCTAACAAGTTCCAACGGTAGAGTTTCTACAGCCGTCTGCATAAGTTTTGAGGACACACACATGATACATGAATATAACAGTGAAGGACATGCTTATGTAGTTATGTTATGTTGTTGCATACCCATAGCCTTGGAACTGCTGGATCAAACTTTTTGTGCAACTTGGAGAGCTCTGACTCAAAGTTGATCACTATGGATGCTTTGAATTCGATTGAGAATGGCCTGCATATATAGTCATCAACACAGTTATTGTGGAATTGATTGTAATACTAATTTTTCACCTCAGCTCCACAAACACACCCGAAAAGAACGTATTAAACTTAAAAGGAGTCTAAGGAATCCATAACTTACCCGGCAAAGACAGTTGGACATGTCAAAAGTCGGGGGAGGATAACATGGACGGGCAAAGTCATGTTACGGCAGACATCTCCATCTGCTATCTGATAAGATTCAACAACAAAACGAAAAAACTCACTATCTAAGACACAGTAAGCCAAGACTCGTCCATGGTAAAGAGTATGTTGACAAGTAATAGTTGAACTATGGATACCTGTGTGGTCTGAATCAAAGAGGTCTCAGTCACAATTTTTTCTCCCACCAGCACAGACTCGATACGGAATAGATGGACATCAATGGAGCAAATGGGGACAGAAGATGCCTCTACGGTTAACTCACCACTGATGGGCTCTGACAAACAACAGAGAGTGCCCATTCTTCCAGTTACCCTGAACCCACCTGCGAGCAATAACCCATAATGATTGGATTTAACTGAACAAGAAAGAGCACGAATGAAATGGTTCTTAAAAGCATGCAAGCTAGAATTCTAGTTCATGAGATTCAATTAGTGCACAAAACAATGGATGAAGCCAAATCCTACCTGACTTCAGCTCTGGAAGTAATGGATGTCTTTGCGTGTCTTGAGTGATGTGAAAGATTGCCATCTCAGGTGAAACTGGTCGCTCAAGAAGATAAACTGTGTGCACGGCAGGACAAAGAGTAATGAGCTTCTGCTATCAAACAACAGTAACACAGGAACACCCTATTGCCAAAGATGAAACGAACCACACCTTTATCGGTCTCAACTATGAACTCCAAGGTAGCGGATAATGACTTCTGCAGGTATCCCCTCATCACATCTGCAGTAATCAAATACTGTTATAGGGTTCACCGAGTATCAGAAGAAGTGTCAAAAGAAAATTGCAAGGAATATTACAGGGTGGAATGTAGAGAACAAAGCAAGATACACTAAAAGAAAGATACCCCACCTGGATATTAATATCTCTTCCATGGTAAGTCTCGTAAAATTTCTCAGAGTTTTCTCCGTGCTGCTTCAGATTTACTGAAAATGGGATCTGCCACAGTAAGCGAAAATTTACCCTCTCGTGACTGGGTCAAAACGACCATACCAGATATAAACCCAAGAAAAGAGATGAATCCAAAACATGGTTGAATTTCGCAACCAAGAAAACAGAAAGAAGGGGGAGGGGAAGAGGAAGAGGAAGAGCTATCAGCTTTCCTACTTCGAACTCTAAACTGATGAAATCAACGTGAGGCGTGAGCCATGCAAAAGATTACCCAATTGGAAGATGCTAGCCATCTCGCTTTTCAAGCCCCGACTATAGAATAAATGCCATCATTCACAACATCATGCACCTCCTAGTCATAAAACTACTCCCCATTTTTATCTACTCACCACCGTTGTACCAGCAGCAATCTTTCCAGAAGGCTTTACTTCGATGATCTTGTTCCTGCTGACATGTTGGAGAATCGGGGTAAGAAAAATGAAACTGAAAATGGATGTTGCAGATACATAAGCTACTTGGAACAACTTGCTATCAAATTTCCTAATCAAGTCTAGCACTAACCAGCCCTTGTTATCAAAATTCACGAACTTTACAGTTGGGAATGATTAGATATACTAGAAGTGTAGCTCTCTAATATAGTTCACACTCATTCAACTTTGCAAACTAAAATCCAAACAAAATTTGATAGATCGACGATCTCGATAGAAGTTCTTACACAATCGGAATGGGCTTGACAACGCCGTAGAAGGACTCGATAATTCCAGCCGTTCCTCCTCTAACCTAAAATCCCAACCCACAGCAAAAGCACATTGGCATGAGATAAGAGAATTACGATGCCGAGAGGAAACAGTTGACGGCATACTGTGAGCTTCAAAACCTGCAAGTTAACGGATCCATTGATGCCAAGGCGAACTCCATAGTGAGAAAACGAAGACGGTGACTTCACCACTATCTTCCCCTCCAGCGTTTCCTGATGACGTGAAATTAGCGAGGGAAAGGGGAAACCAAAAACACGAGGAAAACCAGAGAGCAAAGGATGGGAGTTCTTACAGAAGGGCGGTAGATGCGATTGGACTTGGAAAGCTTCAGCTCTACGGTCGCCGACGACATTGCAAACCCACCAAAATCGGAGAAATGCTTGCGATCAGCGTTCCCTTCCCTCGGGGTGAGAAGGCCGAATTCGAGAATTATTAATATAATACGGGTATTTCCCATGTAGTATTGTTGTTATCACTCCTCCAACTTTCTTTGTGTGCAACAATCAATCCTGATTCCTCAATTGGACAATTTAGTTTCCTAATTTATTTTCAAGTATTAGTTTGATCCTCAATTTAATAATATTTTGATCCAAATGTATTCTTTTCTAGTTAACTGGTTGGAGACAAGTTCACCCAAAAAAACCTCCAAAAGCACTACCAGTACAGCAAAATTAAAGTTTACTTTTGAACCAATTTTGTTATGCGATGGTTTCGTTCCAATTAAATTATAGAATTGCTCTATGATGGATTGAGATAAGCAAAAGCATGGGGCACCATTTGTATTGGTGCAACTATGTAAGAAAATCATTGGCAAAAACTATGTAAGAAAATCATGAGATAACAAGATTCGGTTCAGAGCATCTTGTTATTTTCAACACCTCTTTAAACAATCTCATTTTTCTCCTATCAAAACTCATTTCCTTCCATTTGGAGATCAACATTTGTTGTAGCCTATCATCAAGGACTAAATTCACAAATCGAATCGAAACTTCTTTAAATCCCAATGTCATAGTGCGAGTCTTGAAGTGAAATTAGATTTAATCGGACGACTGTTTGGAAGTAATGTGAAACAAATAGAAATTGACAATGGGCTAAAACAGTAAAAAACAAAAATTAAGAGTCGGGTGCATCAATTAAAATAGGCTAGTAAATGGTCTTTTTCTCATTATCCAGTTCCTTATTTAATTACCTACCCCGCTAATTGTTCTTGATGTCAGGGGCATAGCCAGGATTTTGTTTAAGGTGGGTCCATCTAGAAAAAAAATACACATGATGAAATAGTTTTTGTTAATATAATCTTAAATTGAAAATTTTTGGTAAATTAAAATGCATTAATAGTAAAAAAATATCAAGAATATCATTCTGCGTACCAAACAATTATTGATTTAGTTAGTCGTACACTCGTACTGTTTCAAATGGTATTATTTTTCAAGAACCGTTAGTATCAATAAATCAAGTTGTTGTTGAGTTGTTGTTAGAGGTTTAATAATAAATCCTACACCAATCAATAATTCATGATTTAGCTTTCGAATAATGTTCTTTGTAAAAAAAATATTTAGTATCAACAAATTGAGCTGTTGGAAGAGATTCAATAATATATATATATATGGTGGCTTCTATCGTACCTTGGGTAAAATGTAGGGTACGACATACCCTGAGTAAGAAAATACTATCTAGACCTCGAATTAACCGAATTTTTGGGCATACTACTATACCCTAACCCTTAATGAGTGAACCCTAGGTCTTAGTTTGTTGCATATATTTTGACAAATCATAGCCGTTGATTTTTGTTTCTAATTAAATTGATCTTAGTGTATGAGATTTATAGAACTAAGACCTAGATTTTAATCCTTAAGGGTTTGGGAATAATATCATACGCCAAACTATGCTTAATTCAAGGTCTATATATCATTTTCTTACTCAATGTATGTCGTACCCTTGATTTTACCCAAGGTACGATAGAACCACCCATATATATATATATATATAATACCATTTACGAGGGAATTTTTCCAATAATAGCACTTTTTTAAATAAAAAATTACAAAACACCCATCCGAAAAAATTACACTAATAGCACCATTTATAATAGACCGCACCTCTAAGGTGCGTTTTATATGTAAACCGCACCCTCCAGGTGCGGTCCAATCCATGTCAGCAAACACACCGCACCTTCCGAGAGCGGTTTGTGTTTTCTGGGCAGCGGGGTCGGAGACCGTCGGATGGGGCTGCGATCCAAGGGCAGACCGCTTGCCAGGTCACCGTTCCTGGCCACGGATCCAAGACCGCAGCGCCGAGGTGCGGTCAAGCTTGGGGAAGAGCAAACCGCCTCGGCAAGGCGCGGTTTTGGCTTGGGCAAAATTACCCGCCCGCCCCTGGAGGGTGCGGTCTGTTGGGTATAAATACCTCCCCCCCCCCTTCCCCTCTCATTTCTTCACACCACAACCATTCTCCACTCTCTCTCTCTCTCTAGAATTTATCTCTCTAAACCCTCCCCTCCCAAAAGCCTAGGAAATAGTAGTCTGTTGGTTGCGGCTAAGTCTGATCTGCCATCAGAAAACATTTCTTAGGTTCTTTCCTCAAAACCCGCCGAGCCGAATCTCTGTCCGAATTTCCCAAAAAAATGGCCGATTGGTGGCAAGGAGAGGGAGTTTATGTTGATGAATTTCAAGCGGTACGTACTCATTATTCTGGTTTAATTTTTGTTGTTGTTATAAGCTTTTTAATTAATCTATGTACTAACCTCGTTGTTATTTTCTCGTAGGTTGGGGAGAACGTGGATATATACAACCAACGGTATTATCTAGAGCAAGGACCGTTGGATCCAACCGACTTGTACGACCAACCCAACCATCGGTCAAGGGATGTTTGGAACGATCACCTGGTACATACAATTCTTCACCATTTGTCCTTCTTTTATTTTGTTAATGTATTTAGTGGAATATAAAATAAATTTATGTTGAATTTTTAATCGTGTTGGTTGTTTTCAATAATTTAATCGAATACATAGCGCCACTTACTTCGACTCTTTATAAAGAGTTGCACGTCTAAGGAAATGGGGTTTTAAGCAATTTAATCGTGATGCTTGATAGCCGCAACAACCACCCTGGATTTCAATTGTCGATGGCCTTGGGAAGTTATGGATGACACACATGTGTGTGTGTTCACCGCACGGGATATGACCCAGTGGCCGTGTCTCTTGCTGTTGATCCTAACATTGCACCCCTCGTGATGATTACGACATCTGACTATGAGCCTTTTAGTGTTGGAATGAGTTGTGTGTCATTCAAAATGCCGAGTCATTGCTTCAGTCTCAATGGCGTGCCGCACTTCCTTCTTCGAGCCAAATTGTTGGCCTTTCATAAACCCAGTGAGTGGACCCCATATTGGGACCTCTTGCGGCTCCACGTCGCTGTCGACCATCCAATTGTCGTCTGGAATGTGATTGTAGTAGGGGACTGGTACACGGTCACGAGCCACCTCATCATCATTAGCTGAGTCTGACTCTGGTCCCGAATCATCAACACCTTCAAGAGGGTCGGAGCTGTCTGCACTGACGTTGTTCTCTCCTTCTTCATTGGAGGGGTCATTGACTGGTGCTGGCAGGGCATCCTCCATCTGATCCAGCTTATGAAAGGCACCTTCATCAGCTCCATAATGGTAGTTGTGAAAACTACCGCTGCCTGATTGGAAGTTGTACTGAGGTTGGTTGGGGAGGTTTCGGTTGAACTTCTTCTTCATATGACGGGAAAGATTGATGATGACCTTCACCTTGCTCTTGGTACTGAAAATAGGAATGAGGATCATGGTAACTTTCGTAGGGATGATCGCCGTATAATTCACCTCCACCATGGATACCAGATGTTTGACCGTGTCCAGAATGACCTCCAACGCCTACGATCGGCTCGGTGTAAACGAACATCTCGGCTTTGGAAAGATTGTTGGACCTCAAGAATTCGAGCATGGCATCTACCTCATCCTGAGTGGTTATGAGATATTCATCATGCCACAATGACCCACTTTCTCTGTTTGGATATTGGTACACCATACGATCAACTCTTCTCGTGCCATCCATGCAAGTAACGTTAGTGCACATTTGATGAAGGTCTTCAAGCAGCGGTCTGGTAGCGACCTTTATCTTCTGAAAATTGCCACCGAAGTAGGTGACCCCCTTTCCGGTCTCTTCCGTGTAATCATTCCACCGTAAGCCAAGCGTGAACTTTTGGAATGCCATCGGAAAAAAAAAAAACCGTATTTCAGTTAATATCATAAAAATCAAAAATAAAAAATAACAATAAAAAGTAATACAAAATAAACTTACGAGTTAACGTTAATTGCAAAACTACTAAAGAAATATAGAGCTACAACAGAAAATTGAAAAGGGAGAAGGAGAGGTGTGAAGAGAAGTGGTTTCCGGGAAGTCTTTTATAGGCAAAATCAGTGATGAAAACCGTCGTCTGCCATGCAGACCCACGTCTGTTATTCTGCATGGCATGTCGGAAATTAATTGACCAAAACCGCACCTTGGGGGTGCGGTTTGTGTGGCAAAACCGCACCTTGGGGATGCGGTTTCGTTTTGGAGAAACAAACCGCCTCTTCATAGTGCATTTTTGCTAGGTCAGGCCAAAACCGCACCTCTAAGGAGCGGTCCATAAAAAAGGGTGTTATTTTTGTAATTTTTTTAAAGGTGCTATTTCTGAAAAAAATCCCATTTATTAGCATACTCCCTCATAAGAAAATCAATTTATACGAAATTGAAGTTTGCACAAATATGTATACCGTATTAGATTCAAACACAAAACTACTATTATCAATTAAATGTGACCTAATTTTTTAACCATTTCCTCCCAAACCACGGGACCCACCCTGTTATCCTCTCCCTCCGCCACTGTGTCGGACGGTCATTGGCCTGAAATGCATCACATGACGTGTCAAACAACACACAGATGACTGGACGAATAAGTTGAATTCCAGAATTACCCTGCCGGCAGCCGGCTCTAATTTCTCCCCATCCACCTCCTCGGACAATCTTCCGCTTCACACCAGAAGATAAGAGCTCTGAAGAAGAAGAAAGATGCGACCTTCGGTCAGGGTCAGGATCGGATTGACTCTTCTTGTCTTATCGCTTTACCCTCTCTCCCTCGCTGCACGTCCTTTCGTCCTCGTCCTCTCTCAGGACGACCTCAAGGACGTCCCCACAACTCCTGCCGATTCCGACGATCTCTCCTCCTCCGATTCCCAGCCCGAGTGGGATGAGTTCGGAGACTCCGATTCCAAGCCCGACCACCAGCTCGACCCGGGCTCATGGCGCCCAATTTTCGAGCCCGACTCCTCCGCCGCCGCCGCCAATCCCGTCGACGGCGAGATGGCAGGCTACTACGAGGTAGTTGGGAAGATGCTCTCCGCTGTAACCATCGGAGAGATCAGGTTGATGGAGGAAGCCGCCGCTGAAATCGAGGCGGTAGCTGCGGAGAAAGGCAATCCTCACGCTCAGTCGTTGCTGGGTTTTCTCTTCGGGATGGGCCAGATGCGGGACATGAGCAAATCCAAGGCGTTTCTCTATCACCATTTTGCTGCCCAGGGAGGGAGTCTGCAGTCGAAGATGACGCTAGCTTATACCTATTCCCGTCAGGATGTGAGTGAGTTCTGAATCGTTGCTTCTTGCTTTACTTCGGTGATCATGGGGTTTCTTTGTATCTGATTCTTCTGTGTTTTCCTTCCGATTTGCTGTTGTAGATGTATGATAAAGCGGTTAAATTGTATGCTGAACTAGCCGAAGTGGCGGTCAACAGTTTCCTGATCTCCAAAGATTCACCTGTCATTGAACCTGTTAGGATTCACAATGGAGCAGAAGAGAACAAGGATGCTCTGAGGAAATTTAAAGGTGAAGATGATGAAGACTTTCAGATTTTGGAGTATCAGGCCCAGAAGGGCAATGCTGCGGCTATGTACAAAATTGGTCTGTTCTACTACTTTGGTTTGAGAGGCTTGAGGCGTGACTATGTTAAGGCCTTGTCGTGGTTCTCTAGGGCTGTGGAGAAAGGGGAACCCAGATCAATGGAGCTTCTTGGGGAGATTTACGCCAGGGGAGCTGGGGTTGAAAGGAACTACACCAAAGCACTCAAATGGCTTACACTTGCTTCAAGGCAGCAACTTTTTTCAGCCTATAACGGCATGGGGTATCTTTATGTCAAAGGTTATGGAGTGGAGAAGAAGAACTACACCAAAGTATGTCCCCCTTTAGTTTTCTCCCGTCGTTATGTATTAGTCTGTCATTAAATCTGGCATATGCTGTTTCCTTATTCAAGTCTGTGTTTGCTGGAAATGTTTTTTCCCGGTTCACAAGTTTTCTTGAGCTTTGAACTTGTGCTGAATTGTGATAATGGCATCTGTCTAAGCATGATTGATATGTTCTCTTTGTTGCAAGTTCTGCCATAGCTCCATATCAGGGGTGTACTGCGTGTCTATTTTTGAAGTTCATGTATAGCAACATATGTTCATCTGTTGTTGCTTTTGTAGACATTCTAGGCTGCCTTTGTTTTTATCTCGCTGTTGCATATGCTTTTGGGGATTTGTTACCAACCAGAGCGATTTTATGCCAGGCGAAGGAATACTTTGAGAAAGCTGCTGAGAACGATGAGCCTGGGGGTCATTATAACCTTGGAGTCATGTTTCTTAAAGGAATTGGTGTAAAGAGAGACATAAGGCTGGCTTGTCAGTATTTCATAGTTGCAGCTAATGCCGGTCAACCCAAGGCATTTTATCAGTTGGCCAAGATGTTCCATACAGGTGTTGGACTTAAAAAGAACCTGCCAATGGTGTGTTTTTTTATGACCTTCATTGTTTCCTTCCTTTCTGGTGTTGTTCATGGTGGCTATTTCCTTAGAAGTTAGAACTAATTAGGGAACTTATAAGTGTGAGATGAACTATTTGGTTGTGACCATCATTGATTATATCAACTGTCTAGGTAAAAATGTTGTCTGGGAGTTGCCTTGTAATTTGCAAGTCGCGGTGTACCCTCCTTTCATTATATTAGCTTCGTGAATCATCATTTTTTATATTATCAAGGAGAAACTGGTCCACCAGTTTATCAGTATTGTAATTCAACATATAGAATATAATGAGCTCATTCCTCATAGAACATAGAGTGTCTTGTTGCACGCATTGAGAATTGCAAGAGCTGTGTTCCCTTACAAATCTGTCTTTGGTACCAGGCTACTGCACTGTATAAACTGGTTGCAGAAAGAGGACCATGGAGTTCTTTGTCCAGATGGGCGATAGAATCTTATCTCAAGGGTGATGTTGGCAAGGCATTTCTACTGTATTCAAGAATGGCCGAGATGGGCTATGAGATTGCTCAAAGTAATGCTGCATGGATCCTGGACAAATATGGAGAGAGGAGCATGTGTGTAGGGGAATCTGGTTTCTGTGGTGATGCAGAAAGGCATCAGCGTGCTCATGCATTGTGGTGGCAAGCTTCCGAGCAGGGTAACGAACATGCTGCCCTACTCATCGGTGATGCATATTACTACGGCCGGGTATGCATCTTCGCTCTCTTACCATTTGAGTCCTGACTAGGGTTAGTCAGGAAATCAAACTGAATTAATACTCGGACCAAATTGAACTTGGTATAAATATAATCTGATTTGGTTTTGATCTCGAATGTAAGACCTTATTTTAACACCGACTCCATAAATCCTATTAAGAACATGGAAAAAAGCGGGCAGAGTCATAACCAGGCTGGAACAAATAACTTTTTATCCGACTTTGTTCGTCGTTTTTCCTTCATATCTGACTGCTTCAGATTTGATCTGGTTTGAACCGGACCATGTCCACTCTTAATTCCTTACCGCTCGAGGCTGATTAGCTTCTCGTAAACCTTGTGTCTCATGAAGATTCCTGACTGCTCTTTTGTTCTTGTCGCTGTCTTTGTTTAGGGTACTGAAAGAGACTATGAACGTGCAGCAGAGGCCTACATGCATGCTAAATCTCAATCTAATGCACAGGCCATGTTCAACCTAGGATACATGCACGAACATGGTCAAGGCCTTCCACTGGACCTCCATCTTGCTAAGCGTTACTACGATCAAGCATTAGAAGTTGATTCTACTGCAAAGTTGCCTGTGACACTTGCCCTAACTAGTTTATGGGTTCGGAAGAACTATGGAGACAGTTTTATGGTTAGTTTCTTCCAAATCTCATTCAAAAATTACTATCATAAACCCGTACTAACTATGGTTGTGGTGTGCTGAACTTTATAGGTTGACATGATTGATTCGCTGCCTGAGGTGTACCCAAAAGTGGAAGCATGGGTAGAGAATGTGATAATGGAAGAAGGAAATGCAACAATATTGACTCTGTTTGTCTGTCTCCTCACTGTGCTCTACCTACGAGAGAGGCAGCGTAGAAACGTGGGTGCCGCTGGTGAGGTTGCCATTGTACCACAACAACCCAACGAGCAGGATATCATACCTCTGGCGAATTAGTCTGTTTGCGGACACTGTTATTCCAGGAAGAAGCATGGCTTGTGTACAGAGGTAATTTAGGAACTGCAGTTTTGGGAACAGAAGAGTGGGATCAGTTTTGCTGAAACTGCTCTCTGCCTTATAATTTCAAATTCAAGGCCAAGGCGTGTATTTGGAAGTGGATTTAGCAACAATGCAGGTGCTTCGCATTGTATTATGAATCATGCAAATTCCAAAGCAGAAGCAAGTAAAATATATACGAGTTATAGATTGATCATCGTACTCTTTGTTTGTCCAAAGCAGAATTTGTACGTACAAGTACCATGACTTTCACTAAAGAGTAATGAGATTTGGTTTGTTAGTACTATGAAAGCCCTTTTCTTCTCCATATGTTGAATGCATCTCAGCTGTTGGTTTTCTCATCTGATAGCTGAGGCAGGTGGTCAACGCTCAGGATTTTTTAGGCACAAGATTGAGCGTAAGCCACCATGTAGCAGCAAACCATTAATGTACAGACTCAAGGGTCACTTCAATGTACTCGCTCAGGGAACCTATGTTTGAAGAGGAAAAACAATGAGATGGACTGTACATGGCATATACCCAACCTATTTGCATTGTGGGTATTAACAAGGCTATACAATCTCTAACCACAGTTGCTAATGGCTATCCATTAGGACCTTGGTGCCAAATATCCTATATTGTCTACTTCTCCAAGCATCACTTTTATCCAGGTAATAAGATTTGAGGCAGAGCTGTATCCATGGTGGATTTCTTGGGGATTCAATCTTCTTCCCATTATCAGTCACTGTTATTCCAAGCAATTTATCTCGCTTTCTTGTCAGTATATCCAAGGATGGATAACCCCCAAACAGTTTCTCCTGTCACAATAGGAAAGGAAAAGTTCAGAAAGAATTGCAGAGACAAAACAGTAAAGTTTACAGATGAATCTTGTTTATGATCTTACCCCATCTTCTGCATACACGAAGGCATGAATTCTGGCTGTAGGATCCTCAAGAGTAACCCTGATCCTATAAATCCCAAGGGGAGAGCGGAAGTCCTCAACTCCCCATGGAAGTGAAGCCACCACCCGAGCGATACATCTAAATTTAGCTGTCACCTGATGGAATATCACCAAGTAATCACTCATGTTAACTGGGAAAGAAAAATGCAAGCTAGGCATTCAAACCTTTCCCAGTCTTAACCTAGCACTTCCTCTAGACTAGTGTTGAAATCCAACTTCAAATGAAATGTGAATGTAGCTTCACCAACAAACCATAACGAATGACAATGTACCTTAGGGTAAGTGATAATATCCATCAATGTAACAAAAGGGACATTGTCATGGTCAACCTCTGAATATGGAAAAATGAGAACGTTATTATATTATTATCAGAAAGGTTCACAACGAAGACCAACAGTGCAAGCTGGAGGCTACAAATGAAGAGTAAAACTATTATTGAAAATCCATTTATAGACATCTAGACTGCCTACAAGCATCAATAAGTCAAGAATGCAAAACCTGTTATTCGCGAACACCAAGGGAAGGACGAGTATGGCATACGCTCCAAGTCATTTGACAAACGATCTTGATGAAACCTTATGCACAATTAGCACGTACAAATATCAAGTCCAATTGAACAACAAAAACAAGACCAAGAATGAGACTAGGAACTTGCACCATACTTTTGGCAGGCTAACACAAAACGGTCGCTCTCAGTTGTGTACTGAACCTTTGTGAAAGGTGTTAACAACCCGTACCACGATCCTCCCCTAACCTCACAGGACAGATGGAATAATTTCACCCATTTCCCAGAATTCAGCAAGCGGACAGCCTGCATCTCACTGCCTCTGTCATTCATTACCCTCAAAATTGTCCCAACGGTTGGGAATGTACACAATACATCTTTTGGCAAAGGAAACGGCTCCGGGCTTAAAGGCAATGGATTATCCTTTTCTTCTTCCAGCCTACAACCCAAACAAAAACAAATTATTTACAGCGGAAATATAAAAGTGATTCCTTTAGATCAGATTTGAGTCGAATGTCCAATATGCACAAACAAAGTCAGAAGGGAAGGCCTTGAAGAAATGGTCAAACCAAAAAAGGGAAAACTTGAGTTCAATCACTAACCCATATGCAATAGCGTAGAAAACAGGAAGAAAAAGATAATAAATTATTCTATCAAACAAAACCAGCATGAACTCCGCCGATAGACGTACATGATTACAACTTTCAAGACATTAGCCCTAATGCCCATGGTGAATTCAAGAACTTCTGCCTTTCATTATCCTCCAGTGTGCAATTAGCAAGCACCAAAGTACGTTCATCAATCATCACTAATCAATAACTATTCAAACAATTTGAAGAAACACTTCAAATCACGAAGGATCTAGATTTCATAATAAAAAATCTGAATATGAAAACAACTTACTTTGCATTAATGATGTTTGGTGGACAGTCAGTTCCATCCCAAATGAGAGCCATCCACTCGCTATTTGTATACTCGTAAATATGGAGTACCTTCACATGGTAAAACGTAATGAAATGTGAATGTTTGTAATTTGGATAATGAGTAAATAGCCACTCAAGATTATCCCTTTTATTAATTCAATAGAATGGAAAGCGACCTACATTCGACGGACCTTACAAACAATATTAACTCGTGCACCTTCTGTGATCTCTCTTAAGAATGACAAGTTATTTGCCAACCCTGGCAAGTACATAGAGTTAAGCTTCTACTGAGGAACTTAACAGCTACAATTGTAATCTAACATATTGAAAATTTATTTCAGAGGATACCTTCATCAAGGTGAAAGTCCACCAGCCATTTTCTCAGGCTAGCTATGAAATTTGAATCCAGTTCTCCCATGCGAAACCTTGCAGAAGACTGGTAAGGATTGAAACCAGGGCCGTCTTGTCCTTCATATAAAGCAAAAGTCGAAAATTTCTTGTTGAATAGGGCATTAACTTCCCCGTTGTGAGGTTTGATCTGCATAAGAACATATTCCAACTTAACATGATGGCTTAAACTCAAGTGTACATATTTTCACAAGTTGGTTTCTGACAGGAAAACTGTATCCACAAAGTTTGACACAAGAAGCTATTTACAAAGACCAGCATGAGTTTATACCACGACACGGCGGAACTGAACTATATCGCCGAGCGCTGAAACATTGGGGAGATCATCTGCAGTAGCCGTGAAAACATTGACCACGATCCCATGCTTCGGATGTGACTGGTCGACTACTTTCAGTGAACAGCACCAGTCTGGATGCAACAAATTGTACCACTACAATCTTCAATATGGATTTAAAGTTTCCAACTTTAAAAGCATAAACATGAATTTCACCATCAGAATAAGAAAGCAGGGAAGTAGAAAGAAACTGGACGAAGAACAAAAGACGGGAATTTTTAAAACATGGCTCAGCGTACACCTTTGGATAAATGGATCATCACTCTACTACCAAAGCCAAACGAACTAGCAAATGGCAGCAGCAGTAAGTCCGGCCTTTTTGTGTCATCATCGCCAAATACAGGGTCTCCGGTGAAAAGATATTTGTTCAAACAAACGATATGAAGGTAAGAAGACTGGGAAGAGGAAATGGTTACCGGTGCCCTTGGAGCGGCGGGGGAAAGTGAACTCGACAACGGCGCCGATGAAGCTAACTTTCTGGTTTATGCAAGTGATGGCATCCCTGATCGGGAGAAACTTGTAATCGTCTCTCCTCTCCATTTTCGCCGGTTGACAATCTCGCTATTCTCCTTCCTCGCCGGCACTTTCTACGAGTAGGGTTTAGGGATTTAGATGATCCCGCCCAAAAAATGCTGTCGGTGTGGTTTTGATTTTTTGTAAGAGGTAGGGGTGTTCAAATGGTTACCATGGTAATAATCAAACCAATTAAACCTAAATTTTATTAATCATGGAATAAAATGTCTTAACCAAATTAACAAAACCAAAGTTTAATTGGTTTGGTTAATCGGATAATTGGATTAACCAAATAACATAACATTATATGAAAACAATTATCATGTTAATGAATAAAACATAACCATATGTTATTGCTATCGTAAACTATCATTATATATAAGCAATAATAATAAGACTAACCATTCATGATTATCATCATCATTCGAGTTAATACATCATTCATCATCTCTACCCCTAATATAGTTAGCTTACAACAAACCCTTAACATATAAATATTAAATACAATTCAATACCACTCATCAGGAAGTTAAAGCTCTTGTACAAAACACTTAAATTATACATAGTTTGAGGTGGCTATCATGGTATTGTATGTAATCCTAAAGTCTAGTAGTTGTCCAAAATGTTTTGGTTTAGTTTGAGGTGGCCCATTTGATTTTGACCCATAATGCTTTGGTTTGTTGTGCACATGGAAATAAAATAGGAAATCACGAAAGTTTGGTTTGGTTGGTTGCATGGAATTATAAATAATTTTGTGTATTAGGTGTATCATTAATTGGTTAATTGGTTTCATTGATTAGCAGTGTTGAAACCAAACCAAACCACCTAAACCAAATAAGCTAAATTGTTTAACCAAACCAAACCAATTATCCAAATTAACCAAACCAAATTAACAGAATGCTACTGGTTAATATGGTTACCACGATAACCAATCCGTTTGAACACCCCTAGTAAGAGGGGGCGAAGGGGAGACCTGGAGCGTTGATGGGGAATGATCGGACGGTTGATAGGGGATGGAAAAACGGCAGGCCAAAATAACGGCCAAGTCAACTTGTTGCCACATATAGCCCAATAGTCAAGACAGTGAAATGAGGGATCAGAAAGTCTAAATAACACGCCAATTACTAGTAAACTAGCTTGATACCCGGGCCCGTTGGCCGGAGGAAATAAATAATGTGATCCTTATATTGGAAAAAATCCAAAACTATCATTGTTTAAAAAAAAAATACAAAAATACCACCCTTCTCCATAAACCGCACCTCGAAGGCGCGGTTCTCAATTAAACCGTGCGAGCAAAGGGCGGTTTGCCATTGGGCAGCTGACCAAACGCGCCTCCATGTGGCGGCCCATTTAACCGCACGATGGGCAGGCGATCTGATGGCAAAACCGCCCGCCAGCGGAGCGATCCGCGTCGCCCACGGGAAATCGTTGCCCTAAGGCGCGGTTTTCGCGTTGGGAAACGTAAACCGTGTGCTAGAGGCGCGGTTTTTGTGTGGGGTAAAAAGACCAAACCGCCCCTCGAGCACGCGGTTTCGTCCCTATATATACCGACTCCTTCCTCCCATTTTATGCACACCAAACCCCCATTCTCCTCTCTCTCTAAGTTCCTCACTCTACCCCTCCCCCACCCCCACCCCCCCCCCCCCCCCCAAAAAAAACCTTGGAAGTTGTTGTTTTGTTGGTTGCGGCTAAGTCTGATCTGCCTTCAAAAAACTTTTTCTTTGGTTTTCAATAAAAAACCGTTGAATCTCAGTCCGGATTCTGAAAAAATGGCCAATTTTATCCAAGAATATTTACTATGATGATTATCAAGTGGTAAGTACTCATTTTACCCAATTTTTGTTGTTGTTATAATGGTTTATTTAATTTATATACTAATTGATTTATGTTGTTGTTATGCTATCGTAGGTTGGGCCGGATGTTGATGTATACAATCAACGATATTATGTTGATCAAGGACCGAGTATCCGACTATTTAATACGATCAATACAATCATTGTTCAAGAGACGTTTGGAACGACCACAAGCTACATATTATTTATCATCACTTGTTATTTTTATTTTATTAACGTAATTTATTTGTTTGTACAATAAGTTACTTAATTGTTAATTGTATTGATTAAATCAATACAATACAACACTTATTTAGACTCTTTATAAAGAAATGCATGTCTAAGGAAATGGAGTCTTAACCGATCATCATGATCCTCCCATTATCTGGGAAAATCGGGTTCTAAGCGATCCTCGGATCCCCCCTTTTTCTGTCAAACAGACTGTGTTTCTAAGGAGATATATACATCTCCTAAGAGTCTTACGAGTGTACTAGTATTGCTTTAAATTATTGAAAACAATCAATACGAAGTACAAAATAATATATTTGATTTTATGTGTATGTGTACAAAAAAGAATTTTACTTAAATTTCGAAAATGATTTTAGTTATGTTAAAATTAATGTTTATTAGATAATGTATATTTCTCGGAAACAACCTTGATTTAATTATTATTGTTTGTTATAATAGATTTATATATGTATAAATCATCCACTTATAGTGAAATTTAAATTCTTCTCTAGGATGCATACCATATAGTCCGCTATAGGGATATGACGAATGTGCTTGAATGGAACGACGTCATCTTGCCCTTTCTAAAAAGGGCAAGATTGGATCCGATTAGGCACTTTAATGGAATAAAGATCGACCACCAACTCATCACAACATTGGTAGAGAGATGGCGAAAGGAGACACATTGCTTTAATTTTCGTGAAGGCGAGTGCACCATCACACTTAAGGACATCGCCATCCTAACCGATTTGCCCATCGATGGCGATGTTATTTGTGTGGACTCTACGCCACCAGCTAAAGTTGTTGCCAATATGAGTGGTTGGTAGCATTTTATATGGACCGTCACCGGGTTGTGTCCGCCAAAAAAGGGAGATCACGATGCGGATGGTAATCCACCATTGTACAAGGGCCAAGTATCCATCACTTGGTTGATAGCGGAGATCAGGTGTAAGCACAACCCTGAGGTCGGAGGCATTCCCCTCACGGAGGAAAGTTCGGAGCGTGATAAAGACATTTATGCACGTATCTACATCCTCGGCATGATCGGAGGAATTTTCTTCCCCAAGAAATCCAACAATTTAAATAGCAATTCATGGTTGAAGATCATATTGGGAGATTGGGATGATATGGGAAACCTGAGCTGGGCATGAGCTTGCCTAGCTCATATCTACCGCTCCCTCTGTAATGGTAGTGTGAGAGCGGTGAAGGAGATTGATGGGGCCATGTTCATCATTCAATTTTGGGCTTGGTAGCATTTGTCATGGATTGCGCCGAAGGTAGACCCCGACAAGGAATGGGGACCCGACCATCCCCTACGACATGAAGCTTATGGTTGTAGGTAAATATTTTCTATCCCACTCATAGTTCTCACCTTTTTTTTACTAATTCAGTATTTTATAACGAAATTTTTAGTACGTATTAACATGATGTACTTTTCATAGTAATAGGTGGTTGGTCAAAAAATATGAGACAACCTAAGTGCGCATAAGCTGGAGGAGTATCATAGGAGGCTGGATCGCCTTTGGGAAGCAGAGGTAACCATCATAATACACTATTACTTCTTGCTTTATTTTCAACTTATATTATTATGTTTCTTAATGGTCAATTTTCTGCACTTTCGTAGTTTAAGTTCGATCCGTATGCAGAACGCATCGTCGTGCATCACGTCCACAAGTTCCCGTTGCATCCCGCTCAATGGTGCACCCGAGTGCCACTAATCTGCCTTCATATAGTGGAGTGGCACTTGCCGGATCGATGTCTACAATAATTCGGACGTGAGCAATGCCTACCATTGGAAGTCCCGGCGAGTCAGAGGGTACCATGGGAAAGATGGTCGACAAGGATCTACTAATTGGCCCTTGGAGTTTAAAGAATTGATCGCTCTGTGGAACGTTAGGCAAGATCAGGATATTGTGATGGAATCAACTGTGGGGCAAATGGGCTACCATGATCCATACATGGAAACATACCGAAGACAATTTTTTCGTTACATGACCCCCGAAGGTGCGGCGGATGGAGCTTTGGTAAGTAATTCAGTCATATTAATTTATTTATTTACATTGAGCATCAATATATTTAGGCATGCAGTGCATTACTACTTAAATGGATAACGTTGTTATTTTCTGCGATTTAGGTTGAAGGCATCGAGCGTATACACGACCTCGCTCGTATTGCAGATCCTTCGGCGGCGGGTCGAGAGGTGGGGCTCATTCGAAGGATAGCAAAAAGTCTCCTTGGCTGTATGAGAGCGCGCTCCCGTGAACATCACAGATACCCGCCAGTTCCCCCAGTTACACCGCAACCGGTGACGGAAGATGTTCCTCACGTGCCTCCGTCGGTCCATAGGAGGCCAAACAAGTCTACAAGGGATCGACCTCACGTGCCCGAGATCAAGCCGATTGAGGCGTGGAAGGTGCCTACTCCATTGGAGGTGTGCAGCGGTGCAGGGTCGAGTACTCAGTATGAACTCCGGTCGAGTTTTCACTACGATCCGTAACCGAGTGCTATCTACGACCACAGTACTCAAAATGAGCCTCGCCCCAGTTTCCACTACGATCCCCGCCTGGCTACCACTATGATCCCCGACCGAGTTTCCAATACAATCTCTGGCCCAGTTTCAACTATGATCCCCGACAAAGTACATTTCATGACGCCACATCCTCGGCTACTTGGGCCGATGGTTCATCCACAAGTCCCCACCAAGACTTCTCACCTTTGCATCGACCGCAACAACAATGGCAGTCCACTCCCCACCGTATGAGCATGGATAGTCCTCGACCGCACACGGAGGTGCCACCTAGCACGGCACCGCGACGACATAGCACGAACCAGCGCCCTTCTATGGCGAATAGGAATCTTTCACCACTTCCAACCCCTATTACACCCGGTGGACCAGTCGCCTATCGCACAAGGAAATAGAGGGAAAATCGTCGAAATAATGCATGAGTGTGACAAGTTGTGTTTATTTCAAGTTATGTTTTGTTTAAGTTAAGTTAAACAAGTTGTTTTTATTTGAAGTTATTTTTTACTTCATGTAGAAGTGTGTTTGTGTGAGTGATGTGTTTATTCCCAGTCACCAAACACGGCGGCCAGTGCTTTCTGTTTTCCATGCCACGCCTTCTTGTAGTTAATGATATAACCATAACGACTAGAAATGTCGGCGATAATGGTTTTCACCTTCAGGTCGGGCTACTCCTTAATTAGATGTTTGATAGCTGCGGCAACCACCCTTGATTTAAACTGTCGAAGGCCTTGGGATGTTATTGATGACACACATGTGTGTGTTCACTGCACGGGATATGACCCAATGGCCGACTCTCTTGCTCTTGATGGCCCGGAACCTAGCTTTGCATCCCTCATTTTGATTTTTGCATCTAACCATCAGCCTCTTCGTGTCGGAATGGGTTGTGTGCCATTCAAAACTCCGAGACATTGCTTTAGTGGCAATAGTGTGTCGGACCTCATTCTTCGTTGAAAATTGTTGTCCCTTCATAAAGCCAGTGAGTGGACCCCATACTGGCACCTCTGGCGGGTCCATGTCGGCATCCACATACCAATCTTCATTTGGAATGTGATTGTAGTACGGGATAGGTACACGGTCGCGAGGTACCTCATCACCATCTGCGTCTGAATCTGGACCGGAATCATCAGCACCTTCAAGGGGATCGAAGCTGTCTGCACTGACATCGCCTTCACCTTCACCAGCTCCGTAATGGTAGTTGTGGTAACTAACGCCGCTTTGGTAGAAGTTGTACTTAGGTGGGTACTGGTGGCCTGCTTGTTGGTTCCCATCCGCCTGTTGAGCTTCTTCTTCATATGATGGGAAGGATTAATGATTACCTCCAGTTCCATCATGATACTCTTGCCTCGTGGATACCAGATGTTTGGCCATCTCCAGAATGACCTACACTGCCTTCGACCGCCTTGGTGTAAACGAACATCTCCGCTTGTTTAATTTTATTGGTGGTCAAAAATTGGACCATGGCATCAACGTCCTCCTGAGTGGTAAGGAAGAATTCCTCATTCCACAGCGACCCGCCATGTCTGTTTGGATATCGATACACCATACGATCAACTCTTCTAGTGACATCCATGCAGGTAATCTGAGTGCCCATTTGATGGAGCTCTTCAAGCATCGGTCTCGTACGGACCTTCATTTTAAAAAAAATTTCACCCACGTAACTTACACCCTTTTCGGTCTCTTCCGTGTAACCATTCCACCGCAACCCAAGCGTGAACCTTTGGAATGCCATCTGCAATAAAACTGTAATTAAGTTACTAACATAAAAATCACAAAAGACAATGAAAAGTAATACAAAACAAACTTACGAATTAACGTTAATCGCAAAAACTAAATAATTTAAAGGTGCACACCTGAAATTTGAAGAAGGAGTGGAGTGAAGATTTTGAGTTTTCTGGACCTGCCTTTTATAGGCAAATTTTACACTACAAACCGCAGGGGGGAGCGGTTGTAGTCTGGCATGCAGCCCCCACCCCTGCAATCTCCTGCATGCCGACATGTCGGATGTCGGGTGACCAGGCACAAACCGCTGGTGGGGGGAGTGCTTTATGTGTCGACATGGTAAACCGCTTCTCTGTGGAGCGTTTTACCATGCCGACATGTAACTGCTCCCTGGGGAAGCGTTTTGTCGTAGGGCAGCCATGAAAATTGCTCTTTGGCAGAGCGTTTTTGCCAAAATAGGCAAACCGCTTGTTGACCAGGCGGTCTATGGTAAATCACGGTCTGGTTGTGCGATTTCTATATTAACTGCCCCTTAGTGGAGCGGTTTTTTGGTATTTTTGGAAATTCTTGGGAATGGGTGGTATTTTTGTAATTTTTTTTTTAAAACAGTGGTAGTTTTGGATTTTTTTCCCTTATATTTTTTTCTAGCAGAGGACCCGGCCCGTTGGGCGGGAGAATTTTGTCGAGGAATATGGCATATAAAAATGTATATAATATTTAAAATATATGAAATGATTGTTTTGTACCTTAGTTATGCATATAACATTTTTGAAAGCGATTCAACTATGCATAATGTGTTTAGACCTCCATGAAAAGAGGGAAAAATGATATAAGCATTACATATAATTACTGAATGAAAAAAGAAATAAATATAACTAATTGTCATTCATTATTTAATTAAATCATATAGTTGAATATTAGAGTTACTTCTCATAATACATACATAATCAACCTTTAGGATAAAAGAAAATATCTCTCATAGAGTTTAGTATGTCCTTTAAGTTTTTCCCAATAGAGAGCATTGTTTTAACCACACAGTTGGTAATGGATCTGGATTTGAAATATATAGGACATGATGTTAAGTTGTCGCTAATAGTTAGTTGGAAAATGCATTGTGTATGAATTTCCCAAATTATTCTCAGATCGCAGACATGTCTAACAATAATGTAATAATTTTCATGGAGCAAATATTTTTTTCACGAGATAATTCAATAAATAAAAACCTATGAAAATCATATTACATGAAATATATGTTACTAATTAAGTTGATGAATGAGGGTATGAGTAGCATACATTTATTTTAAAAAGATAATAAGTTGCAAAGTATCATTTGGGTTGAATGAGATCGCATATTCTCGTTATCGCTAACTCACTTATGTTTTTTTTTTTTTGCAATAGATTGTTCAAAATGTGCTTTAAAACTTTTGTTCCCACTAGTGTTAAAGAATTATTTGAACCAAATGATTGTAAAATCGTATAGAAAAAGTTGGTAGTAGAGTATTTTATACTGAAGTCATAATTTAACTATGGTTCAACCATTTCATACTCCTAAATATCACCTACCAATTTAGCCTATGGTGTGAAGTTTTATGGTCGAATCGTCGATACGTACGATCTTTTCTTTCAAACTTCAATAAAAACTACTAAAATGTTGACTTTATCAAATACCCTTTAAATCTCAGAAATTGCAATAATCGTATTAAGGGGGAAAAATCATCCAAATAATAATACTGATTTAGGATTTTTTATTGAAGTGGAAAAAATCTGTCAAATATATAATATAATCCTCTAAGCAAAGGACAATGACAATTATTGCACACTACATCATTTTCCCCCTCTTTTAAATGTGTCATCTCACTCTCTTTTGTCTTCCTCTTTCTTTTTTCATTTGTGCTTCCATCTGTCTCTGAGCTTTGTATCTCACAACTCTCCCCCTTCCCTTGCTCTTTCTTCACACCGCTTGGATAGTGAGAAACATAGAAACATCTCAATTATTTCTCCAATTTTGCGTTCGAAATGCTTCTTATCCATTCACAGTCGATAGTGTGAATCAGAGCACCTAAAACTTGGGGAACATATGGTCACTTATTCCTCGATGGAGCAAAGTAGTTTGCTAGCCTGTGAATAAACTAATTACTAAAAGTGATAAAAACAACAATCGTTAAACCAATTGAGTGAGTGTATAGTTAGTTCATCACTTAAACCATTTTATTTGTCAAAAGAATCAAAATGCATAATCAGGTTTACCTTCACTTATTTACGTGTATTTGTCGTACAAATAATTACACATAAAAATTGTTTTGAACCAGCATATCAAACTAAATCTCATCTTATGATTATTGGATCCAATCATGCCATATTAGCAAGAGGTCTAAGGCTATTGGTCAACCAGCTAAAATTTAATACTAATTTAAGAGTTATATATCGCTTCCAAATGTTCAATACTCATATTCAATTTATGAGTTTCAACTTTCAACCCCTTCCTCAAATTTTTAGACCAAAAAAATCTCCCCCCCCTAACCCCCTAAAAAACACACATTTGCAAAGAGATGCTAAATCTCAATTTCTTCACTTTACTTGCTTCTAAAGTTACTATTGACGTTGTTTGTTATTACTGCAAGCTGTATAAAGACTTTTTAGCTATGAAGTTAATCAAGAATGATTTGAGCCGTTAATCAACAATGAATGTATTTTATAAACCTTTATGAGCCGTCACACGTTGATGTGAAAACTACTCATTAATTCAAATTTTATATGTTGTTTTTAGAATATTTTATTTTATTTTTATCAAATGACGCATTTCTCCATAAAACATGAGTTCACCAATATAGACTGTGTAACACCCCGGTATGTTAGATTTATGTTCGATCTTAATACGTGATCGGTTGGATTGACGGTTACGTAATAAGAGTTACAACGGCAGATTAAAAATAATAATAATTTTATTATTATTATTACATTATTTATAAAAAAATAAAGAAAGCAAAGTGGGGCGGCCCTAGGGGCCGAGCCTCCACCTAAACAAAACCCTACCCAAACTTTTATTTCTCCCCACCGCAAACCCTCCCCACTCCCCTGCCGTGAAGAGGCGCAGCAGCAGCCACGAGGCGAGAAGTAGAAGCTCGCCACCGCCACTCCCCATCCCGACCTCAATTCCAATCCCAATCCGAATCCCATCCATTTCGTTTTTCTAGGTAAGGATCACGAATCCCTTCGCGATTTCTAAACTCAATTTATTGATAGTCTAATCCGAAGTTCGTATTTTATTAGGGGTGACGTTTGAGGGTTCGATCAACGTCCCGGGTCATCCAAACTAGTACTAGGCACATTCTAGACATACGAGAACTCTATCCCTTTGAGTTAGGTCGATTGATTTGGTGATTTTTCGTGAGGGTGCAATTCTGGGTTTTTAGCAACAAGCTGTTAGTGACAGATTTTGATTGGTCACTAAAGCTGTTGGGAATTTCCAGAAACGTATTTTTAGATGTTTTAAATTATTTCGAGCCTCTCTGAAGGTTTTTTCTTAATTTAACAATTTTATAATTTGAGCGACGTCTAGGAGATGATTGTAATTTAATTTGGGGATTTTTGAAGATGTATTTCTATTTTTAGAAATTTTTTCTAATATTTGTTTTAATTAAATAAAAATCTTTCTGAGGGGTTTTTAAGGGTTTGATAATTTTCCAAGGTATAGTTGCTCATGATTGACATGGAAAAATTATTGTCCAGAATTATAAGAAGGTTCAAGCTAGATGAAAAATTCGTCCAAGATAAACATAATTAAGAAAAATGGTCGTTTTTGAAGGAATTAATTCTAGAAAATTTTAATGGGGGTTAAAGGACCCTTGGAATGAGGTTCAAGGACTGGAGTTTGAGGAGAGGATGTTCTAGTGATTCAAAAGGTGTTTTAAATCAAGAAAAGTCGTCTAAGAAAATGAATTCTTATTAATAGGTTTCCTCAAGATAATCGGGCTAAGGAGGGGTTTCTTTGAGGAAGGAATCGAGGAGTCTTCTTTTCGAGGTGAGTGTAAAGGCGGTAAAATCTCTGTCGTAGGTCTTTTAGTTTCTACTTTCGTTCAAGTTATTATTTAGTTAATTTTTCTAGTATGCGCGATATGGGTGTGAGGCATCCCACCGCCTGTAAGGGTGGAGGCACGCGTTGTGCTATGTATGAATGTATGTTTGTATGGTTGATGGTATGAGGAACCCCCTGGCAGTTGGGCCACTACTGGACGCAGTAGATGGTCAGATCACTGCTGGACGGCGAGACGTAACGCAGCAGTTGATCGAGTATATTTGGGCCACTACTAGACGGCGAGACGTAACGCAGTAGTTGACGGGCATGGACTGGACGGCGAGACGTAACGCAGTGCCATTGCCGAGTTTGGGTATGCAACGGGACGGCGAGACGTAACGCGGTTGGCATACTAGGGTAGGGACACCGGACAACGAGAGGTAACGCGGTGGTCCCTTGTGTTGGTGTCTTTGGATTAAGAATATAAGTAAGAAAAATTCTAAAGATAAGATAGGAGTAGAGATCTCTCATAGAGTGTTTGATAGTAAAGTTTAAAGGATGAAAGTGAGAACGACTTTCGTCTAAGGAAGGCATTCCCCTAATAATGTGTTTAGTAAGGAGTTTGGCACGGGCAAAAACCTTAGGAAGTAACGACGAGACTGACCCCTTCTCACTCACCAGGTTGAGGATAGTCTAGCAGAAGTGGATCATGAGAAGAAGCAGGGCGAGGCGAGCAGCAGTACCAGCGTCGTCGGGATATCGGAAAGCTCGTGAGGAGTCAAGTTAGATTAGTTAATTATTCTGTTTCATGGTTATTAGTATAAACTGGAGATTCTGTGTTAAGTCGTTTTAAGGGTTTGAGATTGAGAATTTTGCCCAAGTGTTGGGGCTTTTCGTTAAAAATTCTTAAATGATGTCGGTTTGTTTATTTTAAAGTGTGGTTTGGATTGCTCCGGAGTAACCGTTTTTTGGTTTTCGATTTTGACTACCTAGTGAAGTTTACTATATTTGAACCAACTACCATTAATGTCACAAATAATAAGTATACCTCTAAATCATACATAAAATATTTCAAGCATCACAAATATTAAAATTAAATTAATTCTTTTAAAGAGTAAAAATTGTATAATGAGGTTAATTATAACTCATTTATACGTTAATGCTCTATAAATTGATCAACACATCTAGTAATGGCGAAATGAACATCACATTAAACCCAATATCGTCTCATTATTGGTAGATCCATTCATGCCAGATTAGCAAGAGGTTTAATGTTTAGCAGTTAACCAGGCTAAAATTTTAGAGAATCATTCACCTATAGTTTGTACAAAATATTATTGCTTCAGATTAGTTATGAAAATTTATGTTAATTTACAAAATTCTGCATGACTTTTGCATATTCAATACTGTAATTCGATATGCATTATTTCAAGCCATGAAATATGGGTTGCAATTTTAAGATTATCCGAAATTGTATAGGTTATAAAAATGATAAATAACATAGTAAACTTTGCTTTTTAGAAGATTTAATATGCTAGCTAACTGTGATGGAAATGTCCTCTGCTTTTCAAATCTTTGTTTAGTGTATGTTTACAATTTAAGAAGATAAAATAAATTTGTCTAGTATAATTGGTTGTTATTATTATTTTTGTTTGAAGGAACCATGGTTCAAATCTTGATATTGATACTTTTTTATAGGAAGTAGATAAATAATTGTGATGACAAACTGACTTTTCCTATTTTCACTCACAATTCAAGAAATTGGAAATGAAAAATCTTAAAAAATTAAATGTATCTTATAGAAAAAGCTTCTTCAACCAAGTAGGAAATGTATTTTACCTGAAATTATTATATCTTTTAGAAAATGATTAATTATGAAATCGGAACTCAAGTAATATTGATTGAAACATTAAACATTAAATTGAATGTATGATTCTGTTTAGACAAATACATACATTTAGCTAAAACATGAACCCTTGTGACAAATATAGTAAGTTTTTGTGACAATCTAACATAATATAAAGATAAATTGGGCACAATGACGGAAAAAGCTTCCTAGGATCACTCTAAGACCACGAAATTTGAAATGAGACTCTTATTTTCCAATTTTGTCATTATATTATGTGTATATTTGACACAAAAAATGAATATACTCGTTACAAAGGCCCATGTATTGGTTACACTCTTGTAATTTGTCTAAACTAAACTACACATACAATTTAATATTAATGTTTGAATCAATGTTACTTGAGTTTCGATTTCAGAACTAATATCGTTCTACAAAATATATATAACTTAAGATAAAATATAAATATAGAAGCATCATCATCAAACATATTTCTAGAGTTTTTATTTAAAGAAGGGTAAATACAATATATTAGCCACAACTATTATGAAGCGGAGAATTATAGCCACAACTATGGAAATTCAAATTATTAGTCAAACATTAACTATCTGTTAATATTTTCGTTAGTAATACTAACTAAACCTTTATGTTTTAAAGTTATAAATTAAAAGCAGTCTGACGTGGCTGCTGTCGTGGCCGATGACGTGGCATTTTCCCTTAAAAATTCAATAACAGTAACATACAGTTAGCCATATCTTGAACCGCAACAATAGTTATGGGCTTATGGCTAATCATTTGAATTTTCATAGTTGTGGCTTTAATTCCTCGCTTCATAATAGTTGTGGCTGATATATTATATTTACCCATAAAAGAAATAACAATAAGACAATGTAGCATAGTTGGTTATAATGTTCTTTCTCATTTAAGTGACCAAGGTTTGAACTCCAATGAAGATGCTTTTTCTATATATATAGATGAACTTTGTGCAATGACAAAATAACCTTCCTAGAATCACTCTCAAGCCACGGAATTTGAAATGGATGACAAAAATAACCTTTCTAGAATCACTCTCAAGCCACGAAATTTGAAATGGGAGAATTCCAACCCATGTTTTGCCTTTATATATCTTGTAGATAGAATGTGATGTAATGAATGAAGGTGAGTATTCCATTCATGACTCTAATTTAACGATGTTGTGAAAAAGTCATTCTCAATAGTGTTATGCCAACTTGATAAGAGAACAAAGCATACTAGTCTTATAAGAAATTTATACCAAAGACTTAGATTCGAGGAAGCCAATTAATTTGCGAAGTCACTTGGGAGATAGTAATGACATCACAAATATATATAATTCATGAAGAAAGCACCCAATAGAGGTTCCACAAAGTTTGACAAAAACTGTGTTCAAATAGTCCTGTCCCGAACACTGGTCATTTCCAATGTACAACTTAAAATAAAGAAATCTAATATACCTATAAGCTACTGAATCCAAATAACTACTATTCAACCTATTCCTCGTCACTTAACTTCCTCTTGAGCGGTGTACGAACACCACCATCAAGGCTTTCATCTCGTGCTTCTACATGGCCAATCGCAATTGTGGTATCGATAATGGATTCTTTAGTCGATTGTTCTCCCACAACATCGATGGGCGAAGTTGAATTGTTATTTACTTCATTAGAGTGCTGAGACAAAATTAAACCAATTAAAATCCTCACAAAGAGTGAAGGCACATTTTGGGTCTAAGATTGATTTGGTATTCTGTTTAACACATAGGAAAAAAAACCATGACTATGCATAGCAAGCACATTGGAGATTCGTCAATTCATAGCTAATCATCTTGTACCAATGCAAGAAGCTTATAATTGTAAGCACATACCTGGCCGGATTCAAAAGTTTTACTATGTAGCTGATGTACTCATTTGGGTTCAACGATTTTCACGATACTAAATCCATGTGATGGGTTTTTGAAAGTGTATGAATTTTATTTGACGTGAAATGTCACATCTAACCTTTCAAAGTTCCGGGTAACAGCAGGTACCCCATTATGGTGTTGATCACTTGAAAGGTCTAGTTCTTGAGCTGACTTATCAAAAAAATTCCAACATGCGTGATCCAGAACAACAAAAAGTGATTCGCTCGAGGAGTCTATCACAGAGAGCTCAAGTCGAAACCTGTAATGGATAAGTAGTTGATATGGTAAACGTAAGTTACGTTATAAATTTTACTCAATGGAATTTTTCGTAATATGACCAAAACACGAAGTAATAAAGAAATTGTAAAGCATACAAAATTCCCAAACCTTTTGACTCCTTGAGCAGACTGTACGTTACACTTCTCAAAGTAGAAATGATCCACTCCTGCACGCAGTTTGGAGGCGCATTTCGTACAACCATCATAACACCAGTTGTGCATGACTTCACAGACGTACCCCTTAACAGTAAACACCTTATTCAGAGATGACAAAAATGAACATGTTTTCTTTTTACTAATCAAGTATAAAACCAATATGTGCATGGATACAACATGTGTATGGGCAAGAAAAACAACTTGCAGTACATCACCTCATTGGCAGAGTTGGTGAGTAGGCTAATCAAATCTTCTATGGAAATTAGTGGGGGTCAACTTCTCATTCAATGATGCAGGGAGCATTTAATTCACGATGCCTTGTCAAAAAAACTTGATAATTAGTATATGCATATGCCTATAGTTGAAGTCTGTTGTTGTTTTGTTATGTGCATGAGCAAACACACTCAGGGAAAAATACCTTTGGTGAAAGGCTGCAACTTCAGGTAAATCTAAATTTCCATAAAGTTTGGTCGCAGTTGACGACGATAACTTAAGGTCTCCTCCTTCAAACGAATAGGAGGATTAAGAAGTTAGGCATACACATTACTACTATAATAGATACTGTAATTGGAAGATAGTGCAAATGGAATTACCATTGTACTTGGTCACATAAACGCACGGAATGACCAAAATTATTGACCCGCTACCAGCTGCCTACATAATTTCATCTAGTTGAGTGATTAGTCGTTCCCAGAGTACTACGTCCACTACCACTACCACTCCCCTACGATTATGGTTATTAATCATTAGCCATTATAATAATAAGAAGATGCAAGTAAACATTTTAGTTAGAATGTCATAATTCAGAGGAGTACTCAAGCAACATGATCTTAATTTCCTTGCGAGTAGACCTCCCTCTCAGATTAGTCGTAGTAATTGAAGGCAAACATTCCTTCAGCAAGCCAACAACATCTACATCATAGGATAGTGTTATGAAAATTAATCAGTAAATAATTCAACTTTGATAAGTATTGGACTCAAAATCGAACCAGCTTACCAAGCAAAAGCATCCTGTTGTTGACGTTCTGTGGTATATCAGAATGTTTGATAAATCTGAAAAAGTGGCGAGGGATTGACTGTGTATTGTCCGTGGGGCGAATGGTTGTCCCTGGTTGAAAGTCAATTACCAAGGGATTGTTAACAGGCTGATACTTTGTGTTCAAAGTTAATGGTCTCACTTTGAACTTCGCAATGACACATATGGCTTGTTCTTCAATCTTTGAATCAAATCTCTTGATCAAGTTCTGAGGGATTTGAACCCAAATGGCATCTCCCTGTGATCACTTCCATGACATCCATAAGAAATTCGACATTCAAAAATCTCACACACAAAGCTTTCTACGAAAGAACGTAAATACCTTTGCATCCAGCAACACCGTATCCAAACTAATCACAATATCGGTATTCGGATTGATAGTTATCCATTTTCTGGAGACTCTACAGTGTAAAACCCAAGTCTTGTTTTCTTCAATAGTCAGTTGAGAAATGGGAACATTTTGATTCCTTGTTGCGCGTGCCTTCTTCACAAACAGAGAGAATTTCAGATTTATTATTAGTGTCACACTACTGGGTAATGTTTGGTTTAGAAAGCACAACTCACCGTGAGGATAGTAGACTGGGAGGTTTACCGTTACCAATTGCATGTCCATGTTGAAGTTTGAGGAAGCAGGCAAAGAGATCCATGATCTCCGAGTAAAAGGGGAAAAGAACCCACGTTCGGATCGGCGGGAAATAATTTTGGGAGAGCTACTTTTTATTTGTGTTATTCGCGAAATAGAGAAGCAGAGTGGCTGCGCTGCCATCAATTGAAAAAGAGACAGCGAATGCATTTGGAATTGGTCTCATTGGTTTATGATATATATGGTAATATGCTTTTAAATCTCCAAAATCCCAAATATAATTCCATGTCCAATACATTGCCTACGGAACTTCCTTCACTAAACTCACCAAAACGCAAAAAAAAGCCTCATCTTCAGACAACTCTTCGATGGGAGAGGATTCTTCTTCCAACAATGAATCAGCCGCGAAGGAGTTTGGGTGAACTTTGTCTGAAATAACCTCCACCCACACAGCCATCGGAAACTCATGTTTCATGTTGATCTTGATATTTTGATCGATTCCTTGACTCTCTTTTCTGATGAAGCATATTCTGCCATTACCAGCTTAGAATCGGGTGGATCTGCCTAACCTTTAACAAGAGCTTCAAAGGAGTTTCAATCCGGTGGACATGGAGGCTTTTCCGTGGCTGGGGAGGTTTTCTGGCGGTTGGCGAGGCTAATTCAATTGCTAGGTTTGTTTTCTTCATCTTACAGTTGTCGTAATTCCATTCTTCTATTAAGCTTTGTAGCCAATCTATTTTTTAGGAAAGAGGTTACATTCCATTGTTCGTGGATATGGGAACTCCAACTCACCTACCCAAGCCTTGTCCAGTATATATGGAATGTGCACTAAGTCCCATTAGTATCTCTCGGTTGTGGGTATTTGCGGTTTCACAAATTAAGGTTTAGGAATGTTGTTTTAATGTTCCCTTTTCTCAGAAGCTTTGTATTCTTTCTGAAGTTGAGGAACATATAAGATCATAACCTTTCTCGTGGGCGATAATTTAGAAATTGATTACCCAATGATGCAGTTGAAGGATCTCTTGAATGGTAAGCAGTTTCATTGTGACCCGACGTGAGGCTGGATGTGTAGTTTCCAACGTCTTCTCCAGCTTCAAACTCTCTTGGAGGTCAAGCTTCTCTTCAACCAAACAAACACCAGTTTCTGACCATCTAGATTGGTGCGATCTTGATATGTTGAACTTCTCCTTACCAGTAATGCTGGATAGCAATATGTTTTTACTGGGAAAATGGCATGGAAATAGGAGTGTGAGTTGCGGGTCATTAATTGATGAAAAGATGGGCGGGAACGGTTTAGTCTAGCTTGAGCACTGGTTGAATAAACTTCTTTGGTGGTGTTATCTAATGATCTATTATCTGGATGTAGTTCAAAAGGTGTTGGAACATCTTTTTAAATTGGATGTATTTGGAAATTTGAAATTTCATATACTAAGGTCTCGTTTAGTATCATTTTGTTGCTGTTGTGATTGCAGTGGTGTTGTGTAAACAGATGTACAACCACAACAGGAAAAAAACAGAAAACACAAATCTGTTTAGTTGATAAATCTGAAAAATCATGAAAGCTGAAAACAAGAAACAAAAACACGTTTAATTACTACTATAAGAACTAAAAACCAGAAAAAATAGATATGTGGCAGCGACGGCAGGGTCGGGCGGCGGCGACGGCTGTTGAGAACGGGAGGCGCGGAGGCGGCCGGCGTTTATGGCTGGAGGGGGAGAGCGGCGCCTCGTGTTCGAGAGAAAATGGAGGGGTTGGGGGCGGCTGAAAGTAAGTAGGGTTTTGGAGTGGTATGTGTTAAATTTTTTTTTTTGCTTCTGTGGGGATTCGAAAACTGGTATGTTTTAATGAAATCAAGCGCCCAACCAGTAGGAATCCCGTGTGCAACATGTTTAAGAATCAGATCCAAAGCTATAAATTGTTGTTTCTCATATTTGAGCCTTGTTGTGCAACCTGATTCACAACAAAAAATAAAAACCCAAATAAACACGATTTTTTTCTTGGTTTTCCAAATTTCTTAAAACACAACAGGAAACAAAAACAAGCAACAATACTAAACGGGCCTTAATTTTCTATCAAACCAGAGACCACAATTTCCAAACTGGGTCTTTTTCATACTACAATACAGAAAGCAAAAGGTTGATTGATTGTATTAAATTTTTCCTTCTTCTTGTCTTGATACTGCAAGATCTTTACCAAATTTGAACGTATTATTAATCCCTAGTCTGTCGAAATGACTCATGAATTTTGTTTCACAACAATCCTTCCCTCTTTCCAATCCACCGACTATCTAAGCACGCCCCTTGTTTTGGAAATCTTAAAAGATTGTCGTGCACCGATCAAGCAACTGATAAAGAGCAGCATATATTTGGTGTCACTGTCATATAGTGTCGAAGACGAAAAGTGTGTTCAAAATTAAGGTTTCTTCCGCCGAGGAAGGACATGATGGAATCAAGGAAAACAAACATGATCTTTTGGGGGCTGATGGAAGTTTTTTAGACGGCCATTTGTCATCTTCACTTAAGGACAGAATTAGAACATCGGAAGTTCAAGCATTGATGCTGATTGCACTCAACAAAATTAGCTGGACAACCTGAATATCAGTGGGTTAACATCACAAAGGAGTAAGGATTGCAAATTGAGTATAAGTGTTGGTTTATCATTTAGAGGTTTGAGAGGGTAATTTGATTAAGGTTATAGTGAATGCTAACAGGAGCTGCTTGCTCTGTCAACTACCACTCTGGGGTAGATTCATCCCCGATTCATAAAGAAAAACTGCTATAATGATATAGCAACCAAATTAATGCCTTTTGAAGTTGGAAGGAACTCAATGAAGGGTTTCTCTAAATACTCATTGGAAGGCTCAAACTTCAAAATCCTGCAGGCTTTGCTCTGTACGCGAGCTTGGGAAGCTGAATACCAACCGTCGGTAAAAGCAGCTGTCCTTTTCATTCACCAGCATTCCCCTGTCTTGCGTGCTGGTAAATTGAAGTCTTGGGGGGTAAGGAACATATTCACTGCTTTCCCATATGGCTTTCGCTTTTTGAGATTATGTTCTTCATCTGATGGTAATTCTTTGAATTGTGATTTTAGTGAGAAAACAAAAGTGAATTATGGATTGGGATTTCTCCTACATGTTGGTAAAATCTCTGGCCTCGCTATCTCCCGACGGCTTCAGTGACCCACCTCCAATGGATCAACATGTTGTGTAAGTATCAGATTCTCTTGGTTTCATTATGTATTGTGGTTTGGTGAACTAAGAAAATAAAGTGTTCTAGAATATAAATAGATAAAATGCTTAATTAATAAAATTCAAATGATTAACATTAAGGAACCAAATGTACATAGACATGATTCAACCATAGAAAATAGGAAACCAACAAAAAATAAAATGACCAGCTATTCACAAAACACTTGCTGGTCATAGTTAAAGAAAAATGAAAAACACTTGCTACTACCAATGTCCACCCATCATGAAACCCACTAACTTGAAGAAACTCACAGAAACATAAACCAATAAGCATTTCCGATAACAGAATCTACCAGAAAAGCTTGCGAAGGACCAAATCACATTCGGCCGTGGCAAAGTTAAAATCCACCAGTTAGATCATAATTCATAAGCTTAAATGATTTGCCCCTCAGCCAAGCTAAGAGTATCCTGAAATTATTGGTCCATTCTTTGTATGTTGCCTGATAAACTTTAAAAACATGGTGTCAGTAAGACTAACTTTCAAAATATTAGGGAAAGTTCAAAGAAAAAGCACCACTAATTTGAGGGAAAACAGATTAATGAATGCACAACTAAAATCCATAAGACATGCAAATCATCTTCAAACACAAAGCTTTTGACCACTCACCCAATGAATCGGAGGTAAACAGCCTTTCTCCTAAAAAAATCAACATCTTGGAATAGAGCTTCTTCCGGTCCAATAACTACAACTTGTCGAACTATGTCTGCCCAAATACAAATGTAAAGGGAGTGAATAGGTAAACAACTATAAATTAAGATTCGAGGACTCAATCAAATTAACAGACAGATAAGTATGGTTGTGGACAGCTTGAGGAAGATCCTCGGCTGCCAAAAAAACGGAAGTTGTAGATTGGTATGTCAGGAGCATTTGCGGCTTCTTGAACCATTTTATCCTCTTGAAAGAAGATTCTGAGGGTAGGAGGTGAAACCCTATAGTAACCATGATACCCACGAACCACAAAATTTCGCAGTACGTAGATCCTTCCCACCTGAAGAATGGGTTGAAACACTGGAATATGAACCGTACCAACTAATCCCTGCATCTCCGACCCTACAAAAGAAAGTGAATTTTAGTTTATCATTTTACAGTGTCATGTCGACTCTAAAATAGTAAATATCATCACTGTAAACTAATGAACAGAATAATACCTCGTTTTCTAGAAATAACATATGGAGTTGGTGAATCTCAATGCCATCTGGCTTCATTGTTTTCCACAATCGCATGATCCTCATGCGAACAGTAGCGTCGTCTTGATGCAAATTCAGTTGGGATAAACTCAGAAAATCCATGGATGCTTTGAAACCAAAAGAAGTAGAGGAATTTTCTCAAAATGGCGTGAGATTCTCTCTTCATTGAGCATGGCTTTAAATAGTGTTCATGGAAGATGTAAGATATTTTTGTAACTGACAGTAAGAGTGGAGGTAATGGGATTAAACCCAACAAGATTGTGTACCACGATGTAGCTTCAGAATAGGAAAATTTTAATTTATGCATAATATATAAATTAAATATATGAATATAACTAATTAAATATCTCAAGTAATTCAAAATATTTGTACACGTAGGAAATTTATTGTGTATGGGAGACTGGACTTAACTTTACCCACATAGGCCCAATATTATGCACATTGATTAATCCATAATCATTTAACTTTACCCACATAGGCCCAATATTATGCACATTTATTAATCCATAATCATAGATGGAATGGACTGATATGCTTATGTGAATTGACCATCATTTTCCCCTACGAAACAACTTCCTTTAGCAAGTCATGCATACCGTCATGTTATTGTAGTCCCGATTCATTATTACTTGTTTTGTGTACTTTGAAGACGACTCATCATTGCGCAACCATTCCGGTGTCAGGAAGTACCAGTTGGCTGCTTGGTGGCAACTCCACTCTACCAAATGACATTCCGGTAAACCCCTTCTTTATCTCTTTAATCAAATTTGTTCTGCCCTCTTATCTGAAATCAGTTATGAATTGAGTCTTCTTGAAGAAAATGAAACTGGGAGTAACTCCAATTCCATCAGAGAGTTTCTGGAGAAGAATCACAAAGAAACTTCTGGTGAAGAAATCATCAAGCTTGCAATCCGTGCCTTACTGGAGGTATGTACTCATATTTTGTCGTATTTGAACGGATTTAGATGTTAAGATAATTTTAGGCAAAATCGATTGAGCTTTATTATGGTTTGTTGAGCCAACAAAGATCAATGTCTGGATAGCATACGGAACAGTTTGTTTCATAGTTTGTAGAACAACTAAGATCAAAGTTTTTATAGTGTATGCAACGGTTTAACATCATTTATGTCCGATGATAGCTAGAAAAGCCTTGGTTAATATCATTTCTTATCCCCATAGGATGCTGGTCATGTGTGGCTTTTGACATCAATTGTAAACTAAATGGTCTCGGGCTTCTAGCTGATCGACCATGGGTCGAAACCAACTGAATTTGATTCGTCATCTTTTTGTAAGAGAAACAGTCGGTACATGTGTTGTGAATGAGCCTCTAAGATTATGAAATTTTCATTTCTTTGTGTAGGTTGTGGAGAGTGGTTGAATGAATATTGAAGTCGTAGTAATGACAAAAGACCAGGGGATACGAATAATTGAAGAGGCTGAAATTGATGCTATCATGGCTTAGATTGAAGCAGAGAAGGCAGCTCCTGAGGCTGCCAAGAAGGGCGCTGCTAGAGACGCATGATATTAGGAACCCCCTGAATTTGTCCTGCTAATGGGCCACAAGACCATCCATTGTATTCAAATGTGCTACAAATATTAGATGACGATGCAATACATGTTCGTGGACCAGTTTATGGACTTCCGACTATTGGGCAATTCGCCAGTTCAGATTTCATATGCAACAGAGTTCCAGTAGATATGGTAGGCAAAGAGGCAAGTAGGAATTAGCAGGTAAACGTGAATTGTGTAACCAATAACTTCTGTCATGTTTATAGCCACATAGAAACTCAAAGTCGTGCATGGAGTGCTTAGATAGTTAGCATGTAGTTGTAAATTCAGGCTTGAACAGACGATATCGTCTTGCAAGCTGCTTCGTATACACATTCTTCAGATACAATATATATGGATAAGAAAGAAATCACACATTATTCCCATGACCTACTTCATTCATTTGCATTAGAATGGACTATAGACAATGTACTACATATCCAAGAGTTATATTTTTCACATTACCGATGACGCAATGAGACAAAAATTACAATGTTCGTTGTGGATATATTATGAACCGACTGTATAACAAACCAAAGAACGGAGTAAATGAAATATATACTTCAACAGTACAGCAGGGGTACAAAAATTGTTCCAAAAAGTAATTACTTTTATCATTCTAAAATCTCTCTGTAGACAACATTTTGCATAGTCAATACATGGTCTCCATCAGTGTTGCAGCTATAGATTTGAATTCCTGCCTTTCGCGTAACACGTGACAATGCTATGTACAACTGCCCATGACAAAATACCTATTTATGCAAGTACAGACCTACATGGTTTAGAATTTGACCTTGGCTTTTGTTGATTGTCATTGCAAATGATAGAGCAATAGGATACTGGCGACGAACCAAAGTAAAGTGGAGGCTCTTGAACCGTTCCGACAACTTCAGCCTAGGTAAGAATACACGCTCACCAATGTTGGTACCAGTAAGAATTTCAACCTCAATAAACCATGTCCCCAATTTTGTGACAACCAACCTAGTTCCATTAACCAAACCAATACTTTGATCCAAATTCCCGAGAAGAATAACCGGACATCCAATCTTCAGCTTCAAATCATGATCAGGGAAATTGCCTACCCTCAAAGAGTTCAAAAACTCTATCGAATAATCACTCTCCATAATATTTGGCTGTCCGGGATCAACTTCAATGGAGTCGCTGCTAAGATAACATCTAGACTCACTAGGAAACTGCAGCACAACATGAGAATTGATTGCTGATACTGCTTCATGATGCGGGGCCAATATGGCTCGTTCAACCAAGTACTTGTAATCGGCATAACATGTTGATAGGTCAGAATAGGTTGAGTTGACAACATCAGAAATAGGAGTATCTCTAGGCTGAATGCACAGATCTGTTGGAATTCTAATTTTTGATTCACCAAACACATTCAAACCGATGCCATCTCTGATATGTAGAATCCAAGAGCTAAAGGCAGAAATCTCCTCAGATTCATATACAGACGTTCCCATAGAGCAAAACATCTCATGTTTTGCGTCAATTTCAACACCGTTATGTGTTCCCAGATGTAAGATTTCTTAATGGAACCATTTAGAATCTGATTTCGTGTTCCTTTCGAAACAACGGGCAATGTTTGGCGAAAGTCTCCACCAAATACAATAGTTAAACCTCCAAAGGTTCTATCTTTACTGTGGTGATGCTTCCTGTCCACAGCCTCAATATTATGTTTATGGGACATGCAAGCTTCATCCCAAATAATCAAAGAAGTTTGCAGGAGAAGTTCAGCTAATTCACTACCTTGATCAATGTGACACGTGGAGGTAGATTCACAGTCAATAGGTATATAAAAATGGGAAAGAGTTGTTCTCCCTCCGGTCATTAGCAAGGCTGCGGTTCCGGAGGATGCAACGCACAACACTATCCGTTTTTGAGATCGCAATTTCAAGCAAAGAACCTGCCATAGGAAAGTCTTCCCGGTCCCTCCATATCCATCAACAAAGAAACATTTTCCTTGGTCTGAATCGACAGATTGCAATATTGCCAAAAATGATGCATGTTGATCGGCATTCAACCTCGGATGCATAACATCAAATTCTATCTTTTGTTGTGATGCATCATAATTGAGCTCCATCGCCAATATACGGTTACTGTAACTGTGGCCTGAAACTGAAATTGGAACTAGTAACCCTGAAATTGAAGCAGAAATACAATGAGTGTTAATCTAAATGAAAGGTTTAAAGTCAATTCGATGATGGAAGCATCAAGTTATTACACATCATAAGCATAAAGCATCAAGGTTCCACGTCATTCCATTCCCTATGAACGTGGGTTAATGGGAAGAGACCTTAAAGATACCAATATTTAGATACATGCTCGCCCATTGACAAATGTAATGTAGCCATTAAGGCAATCCACAACAGTATGACTTCTGTTCTGTGAAGAGCTTGTCCTAGGTATGAAAATTTATGCCTTAGATTTTATTAGCTTTTTTTTATGACCATCACCTTAATTGGTAACAACCTTGACTATATATTACCATCATGTCAATCTCCAGCGGACTTACAACGCTAGGAAAACAAAGAGGAAGAAAGAAAGATGAGTTGGAACAGTTCAGAATAAATCATGATGACATATATATGCAGTGATGAAATTCTATATAATAATTTACCATAAATATAATGGACTAACCTGGGAAATCAGATAGAGATTTCTAATGGTTTTGAAGTAATTTCTCTATCTCAATAAGACACAATTCATTGAGTTGATGATATAACCAAAGTTGCGTAGGGTCAAGCTTCTCGAACCAAACAGAACCGGATAGGATGGAAATCGATCGGACAGTACTCACCCGTGAATAAGGGCAATCGATATATGAATCGATCGGACAGATTCAACTTGGAATAAAGGGCAATTGATATGGGTAGCTCGCCACAACCAGGGTGAATACCTAGCTGTTAAGAGTCGCTCTAGCACTCTGGAGATTCTCGACAGAGTAATTAGGCAAATTCCAGGTAGGGAACTCGGCAATAGCCTCTGAAATTCAATAATAACCGTCTAAGGGCAAACCAACGTGTTCAGCCCTTTAAATAGGCAAAGTACAACCCAAATCCGAATCAAACATGGAAAAACAATCATAAACCGACTTTAAAACAAGGAAACACGAAAATAGCCCAGCAATCCCGTTAATCCCAAACCGTTAAGCCTGGACCCATTAAGGCTGGACCCGTTAAGCAAACCCGTTAAGGCTGCTTCTTGCAATCTGCCTTCTCTTCAACACTTCCTCCTTCTTCCTCCACTCGAATCATCATATATGGCTTCCCTCGAAATAGCTCCACGTCCATGGATCCAAAGTAGCTCTCCAAATATGTCGCAAGCTTCTCCTTCAACGTCATTGCCTTAGCACGTGTGACTGGCCAACTGATGTCCTCATCAGCCCCTCCTTCTTCAAAAGTATTTGCCCTCAAATCCGAATTGCCATCCAAATAAGGTGCAAGGTCAGAAACATTAAACGTTGCACTTACTCCATACTCTCCCGGCAAGTCGATCTTGTAGGCGTTGCTTCCAATCTTCGAAACCACCTGGAAAGGACCATCACATTGGGGCATCAACTTTGATTTCCTCTGCTAGGGAATCCTCTCCTTCCTCAAATGCACCCACACCCAGTCGCCAACTTCAAAGTGCCTCGGTTTCCTGTTTTTGTTCACATTGCGCATGATCTGCTCCGTCCTTCTCTCAATGTTCAATCTCTCCTTCTAATGTAAACTCTTCACGAACTCAGCTTTCTTGGCTCCATCGAGATTGACCTGCTCATTCAAAGGTAATGGCATCAAATCCAAAGGAGTGAGTGGATTGAAATCATACACGATCTCAAATAGAGTGAACTTTTTCGTCGAGTATAGGGCATCAGCAACTACGTTCTCCTTGCCCTGCTTGTACTTGATCACATATGGAAAGGATGCAACAAACTCAACCTATCGTGCATGTCTCTTATTCAGCTCGCGCTGAGCCTTCAAATACTTCAACGACTCGTGATCAGTGTGAATCACGAACTCCTTCAGCCAAAGATAGTGTTGCCACGTCTCTAAGGCTCGAACTAGAGCATAAAGCTCCTTGTTGTACGTCGGATAGTTGAGGGCATCCAAACTCAACTTCTCGCTGAAGTAAGCAATCGGCTTCTTCTCCTGCATCAACACTGCTCCAATTCCCAAACCAGAAGCATCACACTCCACCTTGAATGTCTTATTGAAATCCGGCAACATCAGGATATGTGCGTGTGTGAACTTGTGCTTGAGCAGCTCGAATGCTCTGGTCTGCTCCTCTCCCTAATAGAACGTCACGTTCTTCTTGATGATGGATGTCAATGGTGCGGCAATGGTGCTGAAATTGGGCACAAATCGACGATAGAACCCAGCAAGCCCATGAAAGCTCTGCACCTCATTCACGTTGGTTGCAATAGGCCAATGGCGAATTGCTTTCACTTTATCTTCGTCCACCTTAACTCCATCTGCACTCACCATAAAACCAAGGAAAATAACACTAGAAGTTCAAAACGAGCACTTCTTGAGGTTAGCATACAATTTCTCCTTTCTCAACATCGCCAACACCTCTCTCAAGTGATTGAGATGATCCTCCATGCACTTCGAGTATATCAGAATGTCGTCGAAGTATACGACCACGAACTTGCCAATGAATGGCCTCAAAACATGGTTCATCAGCCTCATGAACGTGCTAGGAGCATTGGTTAAACCAAAGGGCATCACCATCCATTCGTATAGACCCTGCTTGGTCTTAAACGCAGTCTTCCACTCGTCTCCTTCCTTCATACGAATTTGGTGGTAACCTGATCTCAAATCAATCTTAGAAAACACCGTAGAGCCATGTAATTCATTAAGATATCATCTAATCGTGGAATTGGATGACGATACTTAACTGTAATTTGATTGATGGCTCAGCAGTCTACACACATCCGCCAGGTGTGATCCTTCTTTGGCACGAGAATCACCGGAACTCCACACGGACTCAAACTTTCTCGAACATGCCCCTTCTCCATGAGCTCGTCAATCTGCCTTTGCAGCTAGGGGTGGGCAAACGGTTCGGTAAACCCGAACCGAACCGAAATAAACCAAACCGAAACCGAATTAATGCTATTCGGTTCGGAATTCTGAAGGAAAATATTGAGAGTTCGGAAATCAGGGCTCTTTCAACCGAACCGAATTTCCGGCCCAAAAACCAAAATACTATAATTGCAAGTTCCAAATGATGGATTTTTATGTTTGTAGTTGTTTTTAGACTTAAATATTTGAAATGTTTTGAGACTTATGTGTTGAAAATTTTGGTTTTATCATTGATGATGCATATAATTGATATTTATTGTTTATATTAGGGGTGAAAAATAATTTAAAAGTGAGAAAATACAAGTACCTTCACAAATTCGGTTTTGTGTGAAAAACCAAACCGAACCGAATTATAATTTGGTTTAAACCGACCGAACCAAATTATAATTCGGTTCGAATTCAGTTTGAGGTTTGGGAGAATTCGGGGACCCGGTATTCATAATTTCGGTTCGGTCGAAACCGAACTGACCGAATGCCCACCCCTATTTGCAGCTCTTTGGTCTCTTCCGGATTAGCTCGATATGATGCCTTGTTTGGAATTTGAGCTCCCGGCACAAAATCAATCTGGTGCTCAATCCCGCGAATAGGAGGCAACCCCTTTGGTGCTTCCTTTGGAAACACATCTTCGAACTCATCCAACACCACTCTTTCTTTGGCCGGAACTTCTTGGACTAGCTCTTGATTGAGCAGCACATCCCTGTACATGAGCACAATCAAAGGTTCTCATGCACAGGAAGCTTGCTTCATATCTCCATTGCGTGCTAGCATCACTGCCTTCGAATCCACAATTCCAGCTCCCACTTCTCCTTTCTTGGCCGAGGCATTACTTGCCTTTTCTTGCTCTCGATGTTGCTGCATTTGGAGTTGATCTCGATATACTTCACTTGGAGATAGAGGCTTCAACACGAACTTATTTCCTCCATGTTGCAACTTGTACTTATTTGTCACTCCATCATGCTGTGCTTGTCGATTAAACTGCCATGGCCTGCCAAAAAGCACATGCGCAGCTTGCATAGGCACTATATCACACAAAATCTCATCTTTTTAATCTCCAATCTCGAACTTCATTACTGCCTACTTTGTGACTTTGATGGATCTGTGATCGTTAAGCCATTGCAGCGTGTATGGCTTTGGATGCTGCAACGTATGCAGCCCTAGCCTCTTCACCGCACACGCGCTCACAACGTTCGTGCAACTTCCTCCATCGATCACTAGAGACAACAACTTCCCATCAAATACACATCTCGTATGGAAGATATTTTCTCGTTGTTCACTCTCCTCCTTAGGCTGCGCAGACAATGCTCTCCGTGCTACAAACAAACTGCCTGAAGGTGGTTCCATTTCCATAGACTCGTCGACATCAGAATCAGTGGTCTCTTCCTCTTCCTCCGATACATACTCACCATTATCAAGCAAGATCAGGGTCTTCTTATTGGCACACTGGCTTGCAATGTGTCCTCTTCCATGGCATTTGAAACATCGAATTTCCCCCAACGATCCACCTTGCTTCATAATTGGATTTGCACCATTAGCCCTTGCCGCGGGTCTAGGAGCTTCTTTCACGGGCAGTTGCGGCTTAGGGTTGGTTGAAACTCCTTGGCTCGAACGTGTGGAATTCGTGGAGGGTTGAAACCTCCTATTTCGAAGCTATCGTTCCACTTTACTTGCCATATCCACCAAATCTTCAAGTTGAAGGAACGATTGTATCTCCACCACGTTCTTGATCTCTCGATTGAGACCATACAGAAAACGAGCTATGGTAGCCTCGTGGTCCTCTCTCACATCAGCATGTATCATCAACACTTCCAACTCCTTGTGATAATCTTCAACGCTTTTAGTTTCTTGCCGGAGAAGCTGGAGGTTTTGATACATATCTCGCAAATGGGAACTCGGTACAAACCGATCCCTCATAATTCCTTTCATCTCATCCCACGTCTCAATACGGCGCTGCCTGTTTCTCCTTCGTTTCGTTCCCAAATGATCCCACCAAACAAGTGCATAATCCGAGAACTCTAGGGCAGCCAATGTCACTTTCTTCTTCTCGGAGTAGTTATGACAATCAAACACTAGTTCCATCTTTCGCTCCCAATCCAAAAAAGCATAAGGGTTCGAGGTACCGCAAAAAGGTGGAATCGTGACCTTGAGGTTTCGCAAATCATCATCCTCCTCAAAGCCCTATTCTTCCTCGTCATTAAACTCCTCTTCATGATGCTGTTGTCGCCCTCTCCTTTCAACTCAAGGCATTCCAAGGCGTCTATGCTGGCGCATATGACGTTGTACTTCGTGAACCAAGGGTGGAGGAGCTCGGTTTTCCCTTCCCCTTTCTTCTTGTCGAGGTCTAGGGTTAGGGTTTGCATCGACCACAACCGGCTGCTGGAGCCTTGTCTCGACAGCCTCCATCCTCGTGGTTTGCTCGGCAAGCCTTGTTCTTTGCTCTTCTTTAGCACGAGCAATGTTCTCCAATTGAGATCTGATCGCTTCGAGTGCTGCTTCCATGTTTGCGATGCAAGAAAACTCCAAGAACACAAGAACTTAACAAGAACTCGCACAACCTGCTTCTTGCCTTGCAAGAAACACCAAGAACTCCCAAGAACAAACAACCTCCTGTCTTGAGGCTCAAGAACACGCCAAGACCTTCAAGAACTCGCACAAAACCACCAAGAACACAAACAAGAACGCACAAGATCTTCAAAAAAAACTTCAAGAACACGCCACTGATTTGAAACTTAGCTCTGATACCATGTTATCATAAGAATTTTGTATTTCTACAATCATCAGCAAGTAAATGTATTAACGTGGGCATTCTTGGATTTTGTTAACCAAAGTTGTCTGCTATTCCTGCCCTAACATTTTCGAGACATGATCCTAACCTCAGTCTAAAGGTGGCATCATTTTCTAACCATAATTCAGAAGATATTTGCCAATTGTAGTAGGTAAAATAAACCACCATGTAAGGCATAGACTTAAGAGAGCTTCTCTTTCACCAAATTTTTTCCTTTCATTTTTCAAAGAATGCTCGGGCGCCATTGCAACCATTCTCTTAGTGGATAGAATTGTCTGCAAGTATTCTATGACAATCGCCTTTGTCATGGCCCCAAAGGTAAACAATTTCCCATCAATATCACCCACCCAGCCATGTTTCACATGATCCGCAACAGTTCAAGTTTTTACAGTCTCACTAAGCAACTAACATGTGACCCTTCTTTGTGTGTTTATGTATGTAGCTGAAGACATAATTATTATTCTCTTCCTAGAATAAACCTAAATATACAACTATGTCAATGAAGACTATTGACATTTAAATCAAACAGGGCATTTCAATTGTTAAGTTTGAAAATACTACTAAGCCATCTAAACCAAAACAAAAAGACATACCTTGACTTATTTCAAAATTCCACATTTATGTGAGCTTGGAAGCGCAATAATAAATACCTATTGTACGACACCACAAATCGATTATCCAAAGCCACACCTTTGACGGTTACACATCGATTGTTCTCACGTCGCCGATATTTTGCAAATCCATTCTCATCTATAATTGTCTTACGGCAAAATTGTTGAGGA